CAAAATGGGTTAAAAATGGACGTGAGGGGAGGACCAGCACTCACTTGAAATGGGGTGACCAGGTTTGGTGCCCAGGGAAAGGTTTAGGGGTGAAAGGGTACATGGAAAACCCTGCAAGCTGCTCCCTGCATATCCAACTATTAATCCAGGACTGTGTCAGTGCAGGGTCAAATCCTGATGGAGCTGAGGCTGAAATTCTCTTTTAACATTTTTTTTCAGCAGCCTTGTCACCCCCTGAGCTCCCCAGGTTGCCTCTCCATCCCCTCTCAAACTTCTATTTTCCCTGCTGTGTTACATTCAAAATCCTCAGGAAAATGAGAGTATTTTGTATTAAATCCAGCGTTTGTCACACCCACAGCTCCTAAAAATGATTGCCAGTGCCCCACACAATTATATAATTTTCCATGTTTGAAAAAACTTTAAATTTCATTAAAGTTCCATGTTAGGATGAGCACCCAAAACTTTGTGGTTTCTTTTGTGGGATGGGAGGAAGGGTTGAAGGTGGATTTGAGGGGAGCAGCAGCTCCCACCTGACATGGGGTGACCTCATTTAGGGCCAAATCCTGCTGGATCTGAGGCTAAAATTCTTTTTGCTTAAAAATTTTCAGCAGCTTTGTCATCCCCTGAGCTCCCCTGGTTGCCTCTCCCTTCCCTTTTTCCCTTCTGCTTTCCTTGCTGTGTTACATTCAAAATATCCAGAAAAAGGAGAGTATTTTGTATTAAAATCAACATATTTCACACACACAGCTCTGGAAAATTATTGCCAGTGCCCCACACAATTATTTAATTTTCCAAGTTTGAAAAAACCCATTAAATCTCATTTGTTTGAAGTTCCACATTAGGATGAGCACCCGAAACTTTGTGGGTTTTTTTGTGGGATGGGATAAAGGGTTGAAGGTGGATTTGAGGGGAGAATCAGCTCCCACCTGAAATGGGGTGACCTCATTTAGAGCCAAATCCTGCTGGATCTGAGACTGAAATTATTTTTGCTTAACAAATTTTTAGCAGCTTTGTCACTCCCTGAGCTCCCCTGGTTGCCTCTCCTTCCATTTTACACTCCTATTTTCCTTGCTGTGTTACATTTAAAATCCTCAGCAAAATGACAGCAATTTGTATTAAAACCAAAATATTTCACACACACAATTCTTAAAAATTAATGCCACTGCCCTGCACAGTGATGCAGTTTACCATGTGGGAGAAATTTCATTACATTTCATTTATAGGAAGTTCCACATTAGGATGAGCACCCAAATTTTCTCTTGTGGGATGGGAAAAGGGTTGAGGATGGATATAAAGGGAGAACCAGCCCCACCTGAAGTGGGGTGAGCAGGGAAAACCCCAGGAAAGGTTTGGGGATGAAAGGGCCCATGGCAAACCCTGCAAGCTCTCCCTGAGTGTTTCAAGGCAGGAGGGTGCCAGGGTAAGGCCAAATCCTGCTGGATCTGAGGATGAAATTTCCAAGGAAATCTTGCAAAAAATCTCCCAAGATCAGTTAAAAAAGGGCCAAAAGGCATCGCTCAGGAAGGAGGTGAAAAAGCACAAAAAAATCCAGGATCCCAATTTTCTTTTTTTTTTTTTCCTTTTTATTTTTTTTGTCTGGTAATAATTTAAACACTGAGAGCATGAGGAAGAAAAGCAAGGAGTTTTAAAAAATTGAAGGTGATGGGAGGTAAAATGGCAGCACTGAGGGGTGGGATTCAGGCAGGAATGGGGGGCCCAGCACCAACCTGAGCCCTCAGCCCTGCAGAGCTGCACAGGGAAAGTCCTTATGTAACTTCTACAATTTATATAACTGCAAGAATTCCTCCAGGGGCTTCTCCTGACACAGAGCAGAGCTTTTTGTGGGATCAGGGCGAGCTGACCCAGAGCTGGAGCTCTGGGGAGATGCCTGGGGGTGAATGGAGTGGAGGACAGGCAGGATGGGACACCCAGGGAGCCTGGGCTTTGTTACTGCCATTAATATATATATATATAAAGAAATAATTAAAAAATATCGAATATATAATATACATTAATATATATGATAGGTAATTTATATATAATTTTTAATATATATTAATATATATTATATGTTATATATATATATATATAGATATATAGATATATAGATATATATAAAAATAAAAAATACATAAAAAATAGGGGCATATCCCCCCTATTTTTTGGCAGGGGACACTGAGGGTGGCACTGGGGCAGCAGGAGCTTGGCAGGGAAGTGGCACTTGGGGACAGGGAGGTTTTGCAGTGTTGCTGCATAAAATGGAGCATCAGGAGAAGGGGTGCCAGGACAGCTCATCCCATGAACAATGGGGGACTGAAAAAATTGCAAAACCTGGGCTCTGGGGCTCCAAGGGCAGCTGAATTCCCAGCACACCCCAGTGACTCAGGCTGGCAGGGCTGGGAATGCACAAGTGACACATCAGGGTGGCCCCGGGCTGGGCAGGACACGGGGAGAGCTGTGGGAAGGCAGGATCTGGGGTGGGATTTGGGGTAGGATTTGGGGTAGGATTTGGGGTAGGATTTGGGATAGGATCTGGGGTGGGATCTGGGGTAGGATCTGGGGTAGGATCTGGGGCAGGATTTGGGGTAGGATCTGGGGTAGGATCTGGGATAGGATTTGGGGTAGGATTTGGGATAGGATCTGGGGTAGGATTTGGGATAGGATCTGGGGTAGGATTTGGGATTTTGGCACTGCTGGGCCCAGAGCCCCGGGTGTGGGGGGCACTGCAGAGATGGGGGAGCCCCACAGCAGAGGCAATGCACAATCCCTGATTCCTGATCCATTTCACGACACAAAACCCTGCAAATCCCCGCTCCTGCTCCCAAAATGCCCCATCCAAAGAGCCCTAAAATCTGGGGATGCTCCTTGCTGTGATCTCTGCCCGGGACCCTCCCTCTCCCCCCGCAGCAGATGGAGACCCACTCCCAATTCTGTTCCCGTCACAGGCAGAAGAAAGAAAGACAAATGTCCCCCAGGAAGCTCTCGGGGAGGACAAAAGCTCCTTGAAATAGGAGCTGAGCTGTTTTTTCCAGGTTCCGAGCGGGGGCCGGAGGGAGGGGAAGGAGAAGGGGGGGATGGAGGGGCGGGATGCGCACGCAGGCGCCGCTTCCCGTCTTTGTCTGCGAAAGGAGGTCACGGGGGGGTCCGGGGGGTTCGGGGGGGGTTTCGGGGAGGGTTCGGGGGGTGATGCGGGGCCGCGTCAGCCGCACGTCAGCGCAGCAGCTGATCCCGGCTCCCAATCGCGGCGCGCTGAGCTCATCCCGGGAGCGGCGCCAGCGCGGCTCAACTGCGCACACCTGGCGGATGAGAGCGACACTGCAGGGACACTGCGACAGCACGGGGGGCACCGGGAAATGCCCCCCTGCCACGGCCGGGACACCCCCGGCACCCCCGCAAAGGCAGGAAGCCTTGGGAGAAATGCTTGGTCTAGCTCAGGGTTCAGGCAGGGGCTCCTCAGAGTTTAAATTGCCCCAAAAAATCGCTCCTCAGTGGTGATGCCCCAATGGGTGAACTTTGGGGGTGTGGTGGGCACTGCTGGCCCACCAGTGCCTCCCAGTGCCTCCCAGTGCGCCCCAGGCAGCGACACTCAGCCCCAGCAGCGACAGCCCCGGCGCTGCTTGCAGGGACAGCGCCCTGGGACAGGCAGGAGCTGGGGACAGGTGGCACCTGCAGGGCCCCAAAAGTGAGGGGTGGCACGGGACTGGCACCAGGTGAAGCCACTGCAGTGGCAGCAGGGATGGGACAGCAGCAGGGATGGGACAGGAGCAAGGATGGGGACAGGAGCAGGGATGGGACAGCAATGATGGGACAGCAGCAGGGATGGGACAGGAGCAATGATGGGACAGGAGCAATGATAGGACAGCAGCAATGATGGGGACACAGCAGGGATGGGACAGCAGCAATGATGGGGACAGCAGCAATGATAGGGACAGCAGCAGGGATGGGGACACAGGAGGGATGGGGACACAGCAGGGATGGGACAGCAGCAATGATGGGACAGGAGCAGGAGCCCCTCACTCCCAAAGATTCAGGCCTGGGACTCAGCCTGGCCTCGCTCCCACTCCCTTTTCCAGGTGTCCTTTGCTAAAAGCAGCAATTCCAGCCAGGAGAATGCCTGGGCCAGGATGGCTGCAGAGGCTGCACCAGGCCAGGGCCCCAGGGATGGTGCTGGAATGGCAGGGGAAAAGCTGCTGCACTAAAACATCAGGGAAAGGCAGGCCAAGACCAGCAGGCAACACCAGTGCCTGGTGTGAGGTGTAAACCCTTGCTCAACATCCCAGCTGAGCTACAAAAAGTTCAGCTGAGATGGACACACACACACACACACACACTTGTGCAGTGACAACAGCAGCTTCTTTTTTATTCTAAGTTGTTCCTAACTTTTATACCCTTAACAAAGTGTGTTTTGAAGTCATTAGTTACTGGACAAAGCAATAGCTTATTGTATTTTATGGGTGTGAAGTAATTAATGGCAATAATGAATTGGTAAGAGTTTATAACAAATTATTAAGGCACAAATACTGCTCACTAAGGCAGGTGTCCTCTAACTGCAGATATCCCTTTTGTGTCTGGTTTATTGGTTTCCATGCTAGTGGCCCTGCTTTCTTCTTTGCTATGGATAAACTCACATTTTATCAATTTCTTCCCCTGCTAACTCAGTCCCCTGGCCTGCAGAGCCCGTGCACAGGCAGCTCCCTGCAGGCTCTGATAAGCAGAGCTGGGAATCAGGGAAGGTACAAACCCTTCCCAGAGCACCCCACGTGTACTTACAGACTGTGTGTGTGAGATTGGGAATGATTGCAGCTGCCAGGAATTGCAGGAACAGCCTCAAACCCCTCTGCCAGGGCTCACAGGGAGCAGGCACCCCACACATCCTACAGAAATCACTCTCACCACGAAGTCCAGGGAGAAGGTTCTCCAAAGAGGCTCCAGAAAGCAAAGGAACGTTCATTTCATGTCATAGATGTTGAGGTGGAGGCAATAGAAAGCAACACACTCAATTTGCAGAAGGCTTCAGACCTGTTTTTATTATAGCATGCACGATTTTTATTCTTACAAACCTCATGGGTTTGCACTTTACTCTTTGGTCAGGAGATAGACAAAGTGCTCATTGGAGCAGGCAGTTGCAGGTTTCTTTTATTTCTCCTTCCTTCTTTCTTGGTTTCTGTGTCAGTGACCTTGGTAGGAAATTCTTTCAGGGGTGAACGTGGATCCTCTTCTCAAACTCCTCTCTGGCCCACAGAAGCTGTTGTAGAACCTCTCCCAGAACTTCCCAGCACTGCTGCTCCCAGAGCCCTGCCAGAGCACCCTGGTGCTGCCAGGGGGTGTTCCCAACCCCAATCCAGGGAAATGAGGAGGCAAGAGCAGGGAGAAGGTGAAGGGATGAGAGCCACCAGCTCCCATCAGGCAAATCCTGATTTATTTAAAGAGAATACATTCACAAGGGTGGTTAAATAGCAGAGAAGGGAGCTCAGATATGCTGAGAGAGGAGCTGGGACAAGGTCTGGCTTTGCAGGGACTCCAACTTGACTGCAAAATGCCCTGAACAATCCCTAACTTTGGATTGGCCTTACCTGGGGCAGGAGGAATGGGCCTGAGCCCTCCAGAGGAACCTTTGAGTAAAAATCATCCTGTGAAGAAGGACCCTGGTGAGCTCCCCCTGCTCCTTCTCCTCAGCAGAAACTTTTGGATTTACCAGCTCCTGGTTTTGGACAGATTTGTCCATTTTTCCTGAGAATATTCCAGAGGCACAGAGAAGGTTCTGTCCCTGTTTGCTGCCACTTCTCAGCCAACGTTGGCACATCAGGAACAGATGGAGGGAGAGAGGAGCCACAGAATCCCAAAGGCCTCTGAGGGGACAGAGCTGGGGACACTGGGATGGACAAGGAAGGGGAGGGAGGCTTTGGCTACAGAAGCCCCTGATGCCTGCAGGCAGATATCTGTGAGCAAGGGGAAGGGATGCCAGAGAATCCTGGGAATCTGAGGGCATGGGAAGAGCACTCAGGGATGCTGGAAAGACAAGCAGAGAACCAGGAACAGGAATTTTGGGACTGGTCCCCAGCACTGCCAGGAAACCCCAAAGCTTCAGTCCCAAGAGAAACTTTGATTTTGGTCCACATGAGGAGCTCAGGGCCCTGAGCCCCAGCTTGGGTGAGTGAAGTCCCACTGCCCTTTAAGGGCATCTCCAAATCCACGTGTCAGGAGCTAAATCCATCCTGGATCTGACCTCAGGGACCTGAGGGGTCACTGACTTGCAGAATTGCTCTGCATTATGTGAGATGGGTAAGGAATTCCTGGGGGGCTGCATCCAGGAGTTACAAGACAACATCTCCAGGTCCAAATGGAAACCAGCAAGTCACAACTTATTATAGAAATAAAAAATAATAAACATCTAAATCTAAACACAGAATACCATCTCAAAAACTTCCACACAACAAAGTAACAACACCCTAAATACTTCCATAAACAATACCTACATCCTTCCACCAACACCATGTTAAAACCAACAAAACATTCAACCTCCACCTCTAATCACTCCTGTTATTACACCTTCCAGTTCTAATAATATACAACAAAAGCAACAACCAGTTCCTTATGCAAAAAACCAAAAAAAACCCTCAAAACCTAAAAAAAAAAAAATCTTTACAAAATACAAACAAAAAATTAATCCCATTTCCTCATACTCCAAAAATAATCTGAAATAATAATACAAAATATCCTTCAAAAAACACAGCAAATTCTACCAACTAAACAAAAAATAATTTTTGGGGTTTTTTTAGTTATGCTGAGAGAGGAGCTTGGAAAATGTCTGGCCTTGCAGGGACTCCAACTTGACTGCAAAATGCCCTGAACAATCCCTAACTTTGGATTGACCTGGCCTGACTTTGGGCTGGTCCATCCTGGGACCTGCAGTGTTTAATGTGACATCAGACTGGGGGGACTGTGTGGGGACACCTTATCTGGGGCTTCCCACATTGGAAGGGGCTGATAAGAGAAGTGCAGAGAGACTTTTTATCAGGGCCTGCCATGACAGGAGGAGGAGGAGGAGGAGGAAGGGTTTAAACTGGAAGAAGGAGGTTTAGACTGGACAGAGGAAATGCACAGTGAGGGTAGTGGGGTAATGCTGAGATGAATTCATTAATGCTGTGCTTGGAAGGGAGATTTGAGCAGCCCCTGGTGCTGATGGAGTTTAGAGGGAAGGTGGAGAGAGCCTTTGAACCAGAGCCTGTGCTAACAGGACAAGGGTGGGGGATTTAAACTGAAATGGGAGCACTGGGGAGGGGTGGCACAGGATTTGTTAGGCCAGAAGTTCACAGAGGGAAGCCACAGGAGCAAACTCTGCTCCTGGTGACAGCCAGGCCACAGAGCTGCCCCTGAGGGGCTCTGCAGTGCCCTGGCACCCCTGCCCAGCCCCCTGCAGCACCTGAACTGTCACTGACCTGTCCCACACAGGCAGGGCTGAGCCCAGCACAGACCTGCAGGAAACACCTCTGCTTTTCCTTCCTGCAGCTGAATTCTGCCCCAGGGCAATCAAATCCACACTCCCCAGTCCCATGGACATCTCCACCTGGGAAATTTGGTTAACACAAAATAAAATAGCACACTCAGGTGGGTCAGGGCCTGCCAAGTTCCCCCTTTGCTCAGCACAGAGGGAGGGAGAAGATTGAAAGCACTTTTCTATCCCCCAACTCTCATTCCCTAAAAGATCAGAGAAGGGGAAGAGGTGACACCCCCATGGCTGTGCTGCCCCTTACCCTGGGAATGGGGCACCAGCCTGGGCTGTGGCAGTGCCTGGAGGGGCAGCAGGGAATGCTCCTGATTCCCTGGGCCTGCTGGGATGAGGGGAGTGAGGAACAGGGTTTGGGGAGTGAGAGCCAGACCTGGCTGGGCAGCACATCCCAAAACCAGCTCCTGCCAGTGCCAGTGTGTGCTACAGGGCAAGCAGGCACTGGTGGGAGGTGTAAACAGCAGCCAAACATCCCAGCTGTGCTACAGAAAGTTTGGGAGGTGGGAAGTTCCCTCCAGGCTCTGATAAACACAGCTGGGAACCAGGGAAGGGACAAACACTTCCCAGAGCACCCAAAACAACAAGGATGTTCTTATCCAAATTTCCTACCCAGACACAGGGGTGCACAAAGCTCCCACCTCTGGGAACAGCCTGAGCTCCAGCAGATGGTGCAGTGAGTTTATTAACTTGGGGTTGCTGTGTTTTGGGGCTCACAGCCAGGGCAGAGGCAGGTAAAGCCTGAAGTCAGGGAAAAAAGAACGTATTTAATGTAATTCTTTGTGGGAAATTAAGACAGAATATTCATTTCTCCCCAGGAGGGAATCTCTGGGAGATTCTGAGCAGGAAGGGCAGTGCCAGCCTGGCCCCATCCCTGGGTGGAATCTCACACAGGGAAGTCACAGAGGTGCAGCAGGAGCAATCCCTGGCCCTGTGCCCTGTAACAGCCAGGCCTGAGAGTGCCCAGAACCCCCAGAACACAGCCAGGACTCTGCTCCCAGCCCAAGCCCCTCTGTGGGCTGCAGTGTCTGCACAGCAGGGCCTCCATAGAATGCCAGCGATCCAGGTGCCACCTGGTGTCCGAGCACGGCTCTGCACAGGGAGCCTCAGCACACTGAGCAGGGAATTCAGCCTGCTCCAGGTGGAAATACCCTCCCAGCAGGGGCATTGCCAGCCTTGGGCCAGCCCCAGCTGCTCTGGGCACCCTGTGCCAGGGCCTGCCCACCTCCCAAGGAACAATTCCTCATTCCCAATCTCCCATCCAGCCCTGCCCTCTGGCACTGGGAGCCATTCCCTGTGTCCTGGCACTCCAGGCCCTGCTCTGGCAGTCTGGTTCTTGGAGAAACCCTCTCTGACACTCTTGGTTCTGACATTACCCTCCCATATCCCTTCCCTGCTCAGTTCTCCCTCCTCAGCTGAAGGATCCTGATCCACCAGATCCCTCCTCACACAGGATCTGTGTCAGACCTTTGGTCATCCTTCTCCACCCCCAGTCTAATTCTATCACCATTTATTTCTGAGGGATTTCTCTGGACACCCATTGATACCCTGGCTTATTGCCTGCTTCATGTTGTAGTGACCAGAACTACAGAACAGTCCCCAAAAGGGCTTTGGGACAGTGGGAGTGCAAAGTGCAGAGGCTGTTACAGACACAGAAATCATGGCATTTTGAATAACTGCAGGAAAAATCTCCTGAATTGGCTTCCTGCAAAAGCTTTTGCTGGACTGAGAGGCGTAACAGGAGTGTCCACCCCACTTGGCCCCTTGAAAAGGAGTTCAGGGTGCTCCCCTCATGTGCAGTGATGCCAAAAACTCACCAACATTTACTCTGAGGAGCAGAATTCCCTCCATTCCTTCAGGCAGTGGATGACACTGCCCTGCCAGGGACATGCTCGAGCCTTGGGGGAACAGGAGCCAAAAAGGTGTGGGGATGAAACAGACAAACAACAGGTCAGGTAAGAAAAATACTGCCTCTTCTTTAATGTTCAAAGATATCAGTAAACAAACAGAACCGTACAGACAGAGGCTGAACCCCCCCCCTCCCCTAACAGCACTTTCCAAACCACCACAGGTACCAGCTGAGCACTCAGGAGAAGGAGCAGCAAAATCTGGGATTGGAGGGATGGCCAAGGGAAATCTCTGCTGGGTGAGGGCAGGAACAGAGCACTTGCAGGAAGCAGCTTCCCTCATCCAGCAGCAGAGCAGTATCTGCTGGGTACAGCCCAGAACTGTTTCCTCTCAGAGCAAACAGCCCAGAGCTCCTGCTGACACACAGCAGGACCATGTGTGAACTTGGGGAACACAGCTGGAAGCTACATTAGAGGTGCAGGACACACTAAGTACTGACCTGGGCAGCCAAACCTCTGCTCCACAGGGCTTTAAGCCTCCCAAGGAATAAACACAACAGGGAGGTTGTGTCCAACTCAGCAAAGTGCTGCAGAACTCGTTTGTGAATGCAGATCTGGGTTTGGGGGGAAGGAATGACCTTGTCATGCTCTGCACACATCCTTCCATCCACTCCACTGAGCTGCTCCAAGTACATCCCTACCCCACAACTGGTCTTATCCAATAATTCCTGGAGCTGTGGAGCATCAGCTGCTTAGAAGGGACAGCAGGAGCAGCTCTCAGTGCAGGCTGCAGAGGACAGCAGGGTGGTACCTGAGTGCAGGTCAGGGACAGCAGGATGGATCCCAAGTGCTGCAGAGAGGCAGAGATCGGAGGCACAGCTGCTCCAGCTCCCAGCTGGCTGGCAGGAGCCTGCATGGGCACCATGGAGGTGGCTCAGGCTCTGTGGCAGTCCCACAGCTGCCAGCCAGGACTCAGCAGGGCTCCGTGCCCACAGCGGTGACGGCCGGAACCGTGACGTGGGGACAAGTAAGGAGCACACGTCACCTCTGTGCCTCTCCAGGTGGCAGGAGCCCTCAGTGGGGCTGGCTCTGCTGCCACCACACGCAGTCCAAGATGGAGAGAGGGCTAAAGTGGCTCCTGCAGGGCCCAGTTGTGTGCTGCAAGCATCCATGTCCATGGCGGGAGGCCCCGCAGCCCAGAGCCCTCAGATCTCCACGTCGCTCTCCTTGTCATTGTCGTGGTCACCATCGTAGAACTCGTTGGGAGCTTCAGGCCTGGGGGAAGGGAAATCCCTGTCAGGGAGGGGACAGAGACCTGGAACCCCTGGGGCCTGAGGGAATGTCATAGCAGGAGACCATAGAAGATCCTTGGGTAAAATCAAGAGACTCAGAAGTGACTTCCCTGCCCATGGGCTTTAAGGTCCCTGCCAGCCCCAAGTTCTGGGGTTCTATGACTTGTTCTAGGACTCAGATGGATTCCTCTGCACCCCCTCCCAGGGCCAGAAAGGGAAGCCCATTGCTCCAGAACAGGCTCTGGTACCTGCTGTAGTTTTCCTCTGAGCCCCTCTCCTCTGGATCAGGCTCATCCGTGCGGTCGTAGCTGAGCAGGTCCGAGGGCACGTCGTGGATCTGCACACTGGGAGCATGGTTCAGCATCTTCAGGTTCTCAAATATGGTCTGCCTGATCTGATCCAGATACTACAGGGACACAACACACAGGGATCATCACCACAGGGCCATGTGTCACAGCTCTGTCACCTGCCTGCATCACCTCTGTGCTGGCCAAGAGCAACACATTTGTGCAAAAAGTCACTTATCAGAGCAGAGTGAATTCAATTATTGCCACCCAAGCAGGAAGCACTGACACAACCCAGTTGTTGTTTCTCATTGTTTTTTTTTGCCCTGGGCTCTAGCTGGTTTCACAGGACAGAGCATCAACCACAGGGTTTTGGAAATTCCAAGGTGATATTGCAGCATGGCTGCAAGCACTCACCTGCCTGGAGTTCTGATTCTCAATCCTCGTGCTGACATCAGGGTGAAGGGTGAAGTCTGGAGCGAAGTACTCAAAGTACTCTGGGATGGAAGGAGGCAGAGTTAGAGCAGAGAGGGGCAGAAGCTGTGCAGAGAGCAGAGCTCACCCTCCCACCTGCCTGGGGGAGAGCAGAGCTTAAAAAGCACAGTGATATCCAACCCTGAGTGCAAGGGATTAGACAAAACAAGAGGAAATGGTGCAAACTGAATCACCCTGGACACACATGGCTGTGTCTGCCCAGCAAAGTAGGTGGTGGGAGATCACAGAATGGTTTGGATTGGAAAGGACCTTGAATCTCATCTCATTCCAACTCCCTTCCATTAGAGTTAACCCCATCCAACCTGGCCTTGGACACTTCAGGCATGGCTAAGGCCATCCCCAAGGTCAGGAAGTGCTGACACTTTGGCCCTGGTCAATGCAGAATAGAACATCCCAAGAATTCCAGCTGAGCTCATGAGGAGAAAAGGCAACTCCAACTTACCACTGTAGGGGAGCTCATCACTAATTGGTTCATCCACGAGCAAGGAGGTTTCATAAGTCCTGAAAAGATGGGAAAAGAGGAGCTCAGTTCATTGAAAGGGACATGGGAAATGCAAGGATAAATCCCACAGAGGGGCCCAGCAGTGCCCCTCAGCAGCAGGCACAGGGACTCACCAGCAGCGAGCCACGTTCCGCACCGTGTAACCTCCTCCTCCCAGCACCAGCAAGGGAATGTTGAAGCTCTTCACATACTCCACACACTCCCTATAAACCCCAAACAGGAAAATGCCAGAGCTGGAAACTGCAGCACAGCTTCATGTGTCAGAAATGCCCCCCTGAAGTCCCAACAGCACCATGGCTGGTGTGATACACCTGGAGCTCCACCCAGGAATGTCCAGCACAGGGGTTGGGTTGGGTTGGGAAGGACCTTAAGGCTCATCTCATTCACCCCCTGCCATGGCAGGGACACCTCCCACTGTCCCAGGCTGCTCCAACCTGGCCTTGGGCACTGCCAGGGATCCAGAGTGGGCACCCTGTGCCAGGGCCTGCCCACCCTGCCAGGGAACAATTCCTGATTCCAAATATCCCATCCATCCCTGCCCTCTGGCACTGGGAGCCATTCCCTGTGTCCTGTCCCTCCATGCCTTGTTCCCAGTCCCTCCCCAGCTCTCCTGGAGCCCCTTTAGGGCCTGGAAGGGACTCTGAGCTCTCCCTGGAGCCCTCTCTTCTTCCCCAGCTCTCCCAGGCTGGCTCCAGTCCTTAGGACCATCTCCATGGCCTCCTCCTCCTTCAGCACCCCCCTGAGCACCTCACACAAAGCCTCATTCTCAAACCTCCTCCAGTCACACAAATGTTAAAAAACCCCTCAAAAACTGCTGGCAGGTCAAAGCCAAAGCTCCAACTTCACAGCAGAGACTCCTCAGAGCCCTTCAGGTGGTTTTTCTGAGCCCAGCCCTGCTGTACTTACCCATGACCTCTTATACTGAGGTTAAAACATCCCAGTCGGTCACAACCCAGAGAATCAGCACCACACTGGGGAACAGAAAAACAAGAAAACCAATTTGGCATTGCTCTCCAGATCCACCAGGGGACAGAAGGTAACACAAATACAGCCCTCTGAGACCTCTGCAGGCATGTGCACAGAGGTTTGCTTCCTTACCTGCAGGACTATGCAGGTAGGCTGATAGTAATCTACCACCTGGTTAATGACTGGCTGGAAGAGGTGCTTATAACCTTTGGAGAGAGAGAGAGAGGTGTATTTGTCATGGCTCTGGAGCAGAAGGACCAGGAAAGCCCTGGGGCCAAGGGGAAAGGGGAGGGAACACCTACTTTGGTCATCGATGCCATCTCGGAGGGGCACGTTGAGACAATAGTAACGGCCACTCTCTGCACCAACCTCATACATGTCACCTGCAAAACAGGACAGGCACAACTGCCCTGAGGCTTCAGAGCTGTGCAAAGCCAGGTCTGAGCTGGGCTGAGTCTTTCCACTTAATCAGGACTCCTTTCTTAAAACTAACTACAGCTCTATTCCTCTCTAACCACTTTTCTCCCACCATTTCCCCCCGCAGCTTGAATTTTGTGATTTACTCCTTTCTACTCCAGCAGAGCTTCCAAAGGATTCTGAAGCAGGTTCCCACTAGAAATTCAAAACTTACCTGTGCCAGGAAAGAAATAGTTGCCATATTTGTGAAATGACACTGTCATGACACGATCTGTCAGGTAGAAAGCCTCCTGCACGCCGTCCCCGTGATGGATATCGATGTCGATGTACAGCACCCGGGGGTGATACCTGTGGAATACATCAAAGCTGGGATTCCAGGCATCTGTACACACTCAAACATCTTCCTTTGATGTGCTTGGAAATTGGTATTTAAAACATTTTCTTCTGAGGTGGTTGGAAATGGATATTAGAACAAAAAGGTTTTAGATAGGGCCAGAAATGTCTTGGAAAATAACTTGTTTAAGCAGCTGGATGCTCACAAGTTGCAGATTCTTGTTTCCAATGTGCTCATAGTTAATCTTTAAGAGTTCCAGTGATTTTAATCATATCAGGAAATGAAAGGCAAGCTGGCATGGAGGAGGTGGGAAATGGAGCACTTTGTCCCAGCTGGTGAGCACCAAAATTTCCAGGCTGGGCTAAATTTACTGGAGAATCAGCCAGAGACACAGAGAGAGAAGCAAACTCAAAATGCAGTCACCTCTGCAGAAATGGTTCCTGGAAACAGGCAATAGAAGAACAGGGACATAAATAACATCCCAGGAGGGGTAACTGGGCTGTACTTGAGGCCTCTTGTGGATGGGATTAGGAGATGGGAGAGCAGGGATTGCCAGGGAAATCCTGAGGTTCCAAACTGAGCAGGGAAGGGGGAACAAGAAACCCCAGTACATCCCATAAATCTGACTTTGAGAGCAACTATACTTGCCAGCAGTCATGTAACTATTGTTTGATCAACTCCAAATCCTTTTTAATTCCATGACAGCTTGTCCAAGGTTCAGTGACAAGAAGGGCACTTTGAAGTACCAAAAAAAAAAAAATCTCAGATCAATTCAAGAAACTAAATCTATTTCTGTAACTTTTCCTCTCATTCTGAATTTAGTTTTCATTTCCTAAAGTGAAAAATAACCTGACTCTTTTCTATGGAGACCAAGTGTTCTTTGACCATCCCTGTGCAGCCCAAATCCTGTTCTTAAGGTACTCAAACAACTCCAGAAAGATTTGAGTCATTTTTGTGTCTCCAGTGAACCAAAACTTGCATTCACCTACAAAAGGCTCACTGTGGCAAAAAGGCTGAGACTCAGAAGCCCCTGAAATGGGATTGAAGAACTCTTCTGTATCCCTCAAGCTCCCTGAGAGATAACAAAACATCTGACTCCAACAAAACTGTTGTCAGATGTTCCGATGCTCAAACCCTTTAGTGTGTCTTACAGGTAAGGCCAGGACAAAAATGAAGTTTTTGGGCTTCCTGGATTCCAGAAAGGCAAATGAGGCAGGGAAAGAGAGAAAAAGCAGAGGGAAAGCAGAAAGCAGGCAGCAGAGTTCAGCCCTTGGATCTGTCCTTACTTGAGCAGCTCCAGGATGCCGATCACGATGTCGTTGACGTAACAGAAGCCTGAAGCCTGGAAGGGAGAGAAACCCCAGGAGCTTTAGGATGAGATCAAGAGAGCCCAGGCCCCAAAGACAAGAGGAATCCACAGATCTTATTACCTCAAACTTTTTGGCATGATGGAGACCCCCTGCCCAGTTTATGGCAATGTCACAGATCTAAGAGAGAAAAGAAAAGCAAGTTTAAAGTGACAATATGGTGACAACAACACTGTACCCTCCTTCCCACTGCCACCTGCCCATCCCAGGGGTCCACAGCACCCTCCTGGCTTTTCCTCCTCCTCAGCTCCAGCTCCACAGGATCAGCACCTCAGCCCCTTACCTTGTTGTTCAGCTGTGTTGCTCCCTGCAGGGAGGCCCCAGTGTAACGAGAGCAAAATTCAAAGAGGCCTGGAAACACTGGGCTGAAAAAGAAAGCACATTTCAACTCAGAATCCTCATTCCTCCCTTTTTCTGCAGAGAAAAATGAATCAAACTGGCCAGGGGTAACACCTGAGCAAGAATAAAGCTCAGTTCTGTGTGGAAGAGTTAATTTGGGATCAGGATCACTCTGACCCTGCCTGTAACTCACCAAGCCCCAGCAGGGGAGTGAGCTGCCTGCAAACACAGTGGGGAACACAGGGAATTTGAGAATGATTCCCAAAGCTCCCAAACCACCCTTGAGAAGGCTTCACTTTCCCAAAGCCTGTCAGTCTCCTGCCCACAGCTGGGGCATGATGAGACACTGCCTTAGGAGAAGGGGGCACTGTCACAGCTCCCAATCCCAGAATGATTTGGGTTGGAAGGGAACTTAAAGCTCATCCTGTTCCACCCCTGCCATGGCAGGGACACCTCCCACTGTCCCAGGCTGTTCCAAGCTCTGTCCAACCTGGCCTTGGGCACTGCCAGGGATCCAGGGGCAGCCCCAGCTGCTCTGGGCACCCTGTGCCAGGGCCTGCCCACCCTGTGCCAGGGAACAATTCCTAATTCCCAATATCCCATCCATCCCTGCCCTCTGGCAGTGGGAGCCATCCCCTGTGTCCTGTCCCTCCATCCCTTGTCCCCAGTCCCTCTCCAGCTCTCTTGTCAGCTCCTTCAGGTACTGGAAGGCCACAATTAGATCACCCTTTGCCTTCTTCAGGCTGAACAATCCCAGCCCACCCAGCAGAGCTGTTCGACCCCTCTGCTCATCCTGGTGCCTCCACTGGATTTGCTCCACCAGGTTGATGTTGTTGATGTTCTTTGTCCCCCAGAGTTGGATGCAGCACTCAAACTCTTACCAAAGATAATTGCCACATTCCAGAAGAACTGGAAGCTCTTCCAGAACAAGCAGAGTCTGCAACCCAGCAAGCCCAAACCTAGAGCCAAAAAGGAGCACTGCAACACCCCCAGTGAAGGGAAAGGAATCAAGGAGGCTCCACACCCTTATCCACACATGTCTTAGGCTGGAAATGGGGATGTGAATTCTGTTATCATCTGTCAGAGCTGGGGCAGTTCTCTGCTGTCCATGGGCAGTTTGTTCTTTCTCTCTCCCCCAGCCAATCCTCCCTGCAGGAGATCTCTGCTGTCCATGGCCACTGAGTGTCCCTGCAGGGCTGATCCAATTCCAGCATCCCATGGGGAGATGCTGCATTGCCCAGGGCAGGAGCCAAGCATTCCTACCTGGATCCAATGTGAGCCTGGCACAGCCCAGCAGCCTTTGCCCAGTGCATTGCCAGAGGAGCAGCTTCTGCTGCCCTGCATGGCCAGAGGGAGCCCAGGCCCATCTGCAGCAGCCCTGGAGCTGCAGAGGAAAACTCCCCCCTTGTGCAGGATCCCTGCTCCAGCAGAGCCACAGCTGGCACTGCAGGAGGGCTGAGCCCCCATGGGATGGGGCTGTGCCACCCCTGACACACAGGGGACAGGGACTGATCTGACTCTGGCAGGGGTTTGGTTTTTGTTTGTGCTATTGCATTTGTATTTTTAATTTTCCTAGTAAAGAACTGTTATTCCTATTCCCATCTCTTTGCCTGACAACCCCTTAATTTCAAAATTACAACAATTTGGAGGGAGGGTGTCACTGTCCTATTTTCTGAAAAATCCCTTTGCCAGGATTTCTTCTCCTGGGAAGCTGAGAAGCCTCGGAGAAAAATGAAAACAATAATTATCTGATTTGCTTCTCCTGTGTTTTGCTGCTTTGGAACATGGTTTGGACATTGTTTATCAGCTGGTCATTGTTTGATTGGTTTCATGTGAATTGTTTTGACTTAATGACCAATCACAGTCAGGCTGTGTCAGGACTCTGGAAGGAGTCATGAGTTTTTCATTAGTATCTTGTTAAGCCTTCTATAAGGATCCTTTCTCTATTCTTTAGTATGGTTTTAGTACAGCATTCTTTTACATAATGTAATATCATAAAATAATAAATTAGCCTTCTAAGAACATGGAGTCAGATTCATCATTTCCTTTTGGGAAGGATGAAAGTTTGACAAGAAAGTCTCGCAGACGTGTGTGCTTGGCAGAAAGATTTTTGAATGTAGAATCTGAAGAAGGAATAGAGATGGAATCAAGTTTTGATATAGAAGAAAAGAATTGCTGAGCCAGTCTCACTGGATAACCAAGGAGGCAAAGAGTGTGTTAGTTAGAAGGGTTTTTTATGACTTAGAGCAAATGAAAAAGGATGTTTTTACAAGTCAGCAAATGTTGCAAGTAGAAAAAAGGTCTCAGAATTTTCCACTGCAAGAAAACTGAAAAACAACTTCTAGCTTAAACTGTAATGTACTGACTTTTAGTGATTGGGGAACAGTAACATGAATATGGTAATTATAGCAGTTATGATAGGCTATAGGTAAAAGTTAAGGTATAGATTGGTTGTACTGTATTAAGATGCTCAGCAAAGAAAAGTCTATAATGCACTGTGACCAAAACCAAAGGGTCTCCAGGCCTGTCTGCAACTGGAGCTGACAGCTGTGGGCACAGCTCTGTCACCCATGACCCTGCACTGCTGGAACATCTTGGATCCAATAAACTGGATTTTGGAGAGCTGCCTGGAGTCCCAAATCTCTCATTCATGCTCTTACAATTTCCTTCCTACCACAGGGAACCCTGAAAATACCACAGGAAGGGGTTTGCATTTTCCATTTCAGGGGAGGCTCCTGCCTTCCTCAGCACACACCTGGCTGCTCAAAGCCAGCCAGCACAGGAGGGACACATCCTCGTGCTGCAGGGATGGAATGGCACATTCCAGAAGGGCCCTGGGCAGGGCAGGGCAGCCCCTGGGCACTCACCAGTCATCACCCACGTTGAAGGCGTTGAGGCTCTTGGTGAAGCCCTGCATGTTGTTGGGGCTCACCCTCTGCAGGAAGTCGATGTAATCCTCGGAGTGGAAGCGGCACATGTCGTGCTGGGAGGCCTGGTAGGGCTTGAACACCTTCCAGAGACAAAAGCAGCAGTTATTTCCCATCCAAACTCTGGTTCCTTGGGCTGGAAGGAATCTCAAGCTAATTGACAAGTGGCCTGCATGAGGTACATAAACACTGGTAATTGTGTTCATTTAAATTCAACAGCTGCTCCATGGAACCTGCTCTCCTCTCATTTTTCCCTTTCATAAATCCAAATCCTGCCTCTCCTGACTGCAGCTCTTGCCATAAAATTTCTTCCTACCCTATGGCACATTCTCCTGCTTGGGCAGCAAAATAAACCACAGCTTTTCCTTCCCTGGGGGATCCTTCCTTCCTCACTCACCAGTTTGATCTAGGGGTGGTTCTGATCCCTCTGTTAAATTTACTGACAGGCTCCAAATTATTTGGGGAAACCTCCCAGACAGATGGAAGAGTTCCCTAATTTTTGTTTCCTTTAGAAAGAAAAATGGGGGAAATGGCCAGGAGGTGGATGGACTCAAATCCAGAATCTTGTGACAACACAGGTTTGGCACTTAGGGCACTCCCTCAGCAGAGGGGAAGTTAAAAATTAACCCCACTGGGAGAGGGAATTCAATTGATAAGAGATGTTTTCTGTGATGCCTCTTATTTAAATTTGTCTTATTTAAAGCAACCACTTCATAGAAAAAGTGGAACATGAAGATAACAGGAAGATGCACAAGCTGGTGTCCAAAGGGAAATTCCTCAGGACAGCTGCAGCATGTTCCTGTTTTCTGTGCTGAGCAGGAAACCTGGGCATTTCCAGAGCCACCATAAACCAGAACAAGCCCATCTCCTCCTCTCCTGGTGTTTTCCATGTGGAATTTGGTGTTTCTCAGAGGCTGCTGCCTCTGACAATCAAACAGGGGATGAGGCAACTCCTTATTCCCAGGGATCCCCCAGGAATAGTTCATTAAACCAAACCAGCCCAAAATTGCTGGCAAAGAGAGGAGAAATGGCTCCCACTGGACAGCCTGAGGCTCTCGGAGCAGGGATGTGGGAATCCACCAGAAAGGGAGGGAAAAGCAGGCTGAAATGTTCACTCAGCTGCTGGCAGAGCAGAGCTGGCTCCTTGCAGCCTTCCCAGCAATCCCACCCACCTCCCTGAGCTGGCCAAGGGGGGAAGAGGCAGAGCCAGCCCAGCAGCATCTCAACCTTGGACTTGTAAGGAGGCACAAACAATGCAGCCACAACATAAAATCAGCAGGGATTTTGCAGTCCCAGCTGCTCCAAATCCCTGGTTTTGTTTCTCCTGACTTGGCCAGTCCCTGACTGTTTAGAGATGAAATTGTCTCTGAGATTTTCAGCTTTCCAGTGGCAGCTTGTGGAAAAATAACCCCCAAAAAAAGAATTTCAAGACTAAAAATGTACAGCTCTGCCCACTGCCTCCTTCAGGCAGGGATTTGCCATTTACAAGTGTTAGGTCAGAACAGGATTTTTGGTTGTTCTTGCAAGGAAAAGCCCGACTCTGGGCAAGTTACTTATGGAAATAATAAAAATAAATAAATAATAATAAAAAAACCAAACCCAACCTCTGGGGAAGTTATTTGTGGAAATAATTAAAAAAAAAACCCCACAAACAAACCAAAACAAAAAAAAACCAACCAAACAAACCAAAACCAAACCAAAAACCTCTGGCAAAGTTTCTTGTGGAAATCAAAAAAAACCCAAAACCTCTGGGGAAGTTTCTTGTGGAAATAAATAAACCCAAACACAAACTCTGGGGAAGTTACTTGTGGAAATCCACACAGTGACAGTAAAAATCTGGAAAAGAAACTTTGCAAAGACTCTCCACAGTTGCCCCAAGTGCTGCATTTCCACAGTTACTGCCCTGGATGTGGTTTTATTTGGGAATTTTATTAATTAAGGAAACTTTTCTCACATCTAAACACCTAAAATTCTTTTCATAAATTGTATCTCTACAATTGCCTGACTTCAGCAGCTCCTTGGGATCCTCTACAACTGCACAGGACTGAGCTCTAAATTCATCACTGAGCACTGTCACCCACCCACCCTTGTGGGTCCCCAAAGCTCTGCAGCCACCACTGAGCACTGTCACCCACCCATAGGGTTCCTAAAGCTCTACAGCCATCACTGAACATGTCCTCCACCCGTGGGGTCCCCAAAGCTCCAAAACCATCACTAAGCACTGTCACCCACCCATGGGGTCCCCAAAGCTCCAAAACCATCGCTGAGCACTGTCACCCACCCATGGGGTCCCCAAAGCTCTAAAACCATCACTGAACATATCTCCACCCCTGGGGTCCCCAAAGCAGCCCTGGGGGCTCAATGTCCCGCTGGCTGAGCCCTCGGGGGTGCCCTGCTGTCCCACCCCGCCCGGCCGGCGTGGCTTACGATCATTTTCTTGTAGAGGCCGTAGTGCAGCACCAGGCTGTGCGTGAGCGCCAGGCGGTGCGGCTTCATGGGGTGCCCCGCGCCTGGAACGGAACCGCGCGGGGATTAACGGGGCCGCCGGCGGCAGCACAACGGCCGCTGCCGCCGCCCGCCGCGCTCCGCAGCAGGTCCGGGCATGAGGGGACGGGAGGAACCGGGGAGAGGGGAGCGGGGACGGGGAACGGGGACAGGGAGGGCGGGCAGGGCCGCGCCCCCGCCTCCAGCCGGCCCCGCCCGGCCCCAGCCCCACAGCAGCGCCTCCGCCGCCCCGCCCCGGTGCTGCCCGGCCCCGCGCGGCCCCGCTCGCACCGTAGTGGAAGTTCCCCACGTCCGGGTCGTAGAAATAGGCCACGGTCTTCGCCATGGCGGACAGGCCGCGCCGCGCGCCGCGCTCCCGCCTACGTCATCAACCCGCGACACCCGCCTGGGCCGGGCCTGGGGCGGGGCCACGGAAAAGCCACACCCAGAAAGGGGCGTGGCCTAGAGCGGGGGCGTGGCCACTCAGCGGTCCCAGTGTCACCCACGGCTGCTCCCAGTGTCACCCCCCAGCAGATCCCAGTTACTCCCAGTGTCAACCCCGGCTGCTCCAGTCTGGTCCCAGCTGCCACCAGCGCCCCACAGCTGCCCCCAGGCTCGCCCCGCTGCTCCGTGTGCCCACACACCGCCCCCATCAGCCCCCATGGACCCGCGGCCACATCCCAGTGTAACCTGCCTGCCCTGTGCCTGCCCCCAGCTACCGGCTGGACTGTCCCCATAGCCCCGTGTCAGCTCCCCAGTCATCCTCAGCTCCCCCAGTTACCCCTCACTGCCCCTCACCTACTGCCAGTTACTCCCAGTTACCCCCAGCAGATGATCCCAGTTACCCCCAGCTGCTCCCAGTTACTCCCAGTTACCCCCAGCAGCTCCCAGTTACCCCCAGCAGCTGCTCCCAGTTACCCCCAGCTGCTCCCAGTTACCCCCAGCTGCCCCCAGTTGCCCACTGGATTCCCTTCTGCAGGCCTGCAGCTGTCTCCCAGTCATTCCCAGTTACCTCCAGCTGCCTGCTGGTTCTCCCCCTGCTTATTAATCTCCACCTGCTCCCTCAGGTGCCACCATCACTCCTCCCTCCTCCTCACCTGCTCCCAGTCACTCCCAGCTGCCCCAGTCACTCCCAGTGAGCCCAGCTGGCCACTGGATTCTCTTCTCCAGGCCTCCAGTGGCCCCCAGTTCCCCCCAGTTCTTCACAGTTGTCTCCCAGTCACTCCCAGCTCCCCTGTCACCCCCACAGCCCCACCCCAGGGCACAGGGGGTGGGCAGTGGGATTCCCATGGGACACCCACACCCTGATGGGGCTCATTCCATCCCAGTCCCTGAGGGATGGGGACCTGCCAGCTGTCACCAGGTGCCACCTTGGGGGCTGCAGGCTCTCCAGAGCTTTGGGGAGAACCCTCTGGAGGCGCTGCCGGGCACGAAGAGGACAAAGGCTGGGTGGGAAATCCCTGGGGGTGAGGAGGCAGCAGGATGGGGGAAAGCTGGAGCTGACAGGAGATGGAAACAGGAGCATGGTGTGGGAATGGGGCTGGAGGGAAGGACAGATGGACAGAGCAGGAAGCCTGGTCCAAAGGCTTGGAAAACCACGCCAAAATCAAGGCTTGGTCCTGTCAGCCTCCTGCTTGATGCTCCCTGCAGTTTGGGATGAAGGGAGCTGTGCTGGAGCCAGGCTCCTCAGAGAGGGCAGCACCCCCAGAGCTGCCTGAGGATGGGCACCAGGGCAGGTGGGCACTGGGATGTTGCCTGGCAGCTCAGTGGGTGCCAGGCTGGCATTCCCAGGGCACGGAAACCCCCTGGAAGCAGCAAGGGGAGCTTCCTCCCTGTATGGGATGGGGCTTGGTGGGATGGCTGTGAGTTCTGGGTGCTGTGCTGGCTGCAGGTGCCAAGGTGGGATGAAATTGTGGGGTTACTAAAGGATATTTCTGGCTGTCTCTGTCCCCCCCTGTGGGGACAGTGCCCCCTCCACACTGCTCCTTTTGTGGGTTTCCTTTTAGGATCCCAGCTCCAGCATGGAGCAAGGATTATAGGCTGGTTTAGGGGATAGGACTGGAAGGGACCTTAAAGGTAATTTAATTCCAATCCCTGCCAGGGGCAGGGACACTTCCAGAGGAGAGCCAGGACCCTCTCAGTGTGACCCTGCAGGGCCCAGCTGGGGCTGGGGACACTCAGAGGGCACCTGGCACTGAGCCCAGCACCCAACCTGGGAAACTGGGGGAAATTCAGGACTCCTGGGCCACTGACCAGTATGATTAAGTAGAAGCTGTTTATTGTTTACATTATACAGTTATTTCCACTTTCTAACTCTCTGCACACATTTCTTACTGGTGCCTTTGTTTGGTCCATGTGTTGTGAGTGCACCTCTCAGAATATGGGACTGGTCACAGTCCAGCTGCTTTGCTGCTGTTATTTACTTCTTGTGGTCTTGGAATTCTGTTTCTCAGCTTCTTTCTTCTTTAGCACAGTTTATGTCTTAGAAACCTTGATGGATTCCAGAGGGTTCTGAGCAAACTCTGATAAGAGCAGTGACAAGTGGCATGGCTGGTGCTCGCTGAGGCCTGAGCTGCTCAGGAAATCTCTGGGGTTTGAATGTGCTGAGCAGCACGGCTGTGCTGGGAGCCCCTGGAGCTGTGACGGTGCTCCCTCATGACGCCTGTCCTGTCCTGTCCTGTCCTGTCCTGTCCTGTCCCTGCTCTGGTGCTCCCTCATGACGAGTGTCCTGTCCCTGCTCCACCAGCTGCTGCCACCAGATAACGCCAGCCTGGGGACACGGAGCCACCCAGGACACAGAGCCACCCGGGACACAGAGCCACCCGGGACACGGAGCCACCCGGGACACGGAGCCACCCAGGACACGTCCAGGTATCTGCCTGGGGACAGGGGACGAGAGCAGAGACACAGCCCTGCTTGAGGAGAGGAGACACAGCCCTGCTTGAACAGAGCAGAGACACAGCCCTGCTTGAGGAGAGCAGATACATTCCTGCTTGAGGAAGGCAGAGACTGCCCTGCTTGAGAAGAGGAGAGCAGAGACACAGCCCTGCCTGAGGAGAGACATCCCTGCTTGAGGAGAGACACAGCCCTGCTTGAGGAGAGACACATCCGTGCTTGAGGAGAGACATCCCTGCTTGAGGAAAGGAGACACAGCCCTGCCTGAGGAGAGGAGGCCCATCCCTGTTTCCAGCTGGGATCTCTCTGCTGCCTGAGCTGTCCTTCTGGAAGCCGGGTGCTGCTCCAGGCATCTTCACGGGTGTTGGAGCAGAGCAGGGAAGTGTCACAGAGGGATATTTTTAGATGCTCTTTGTGCTCAGAGAGCAAAAGCAGGCTGTGGTTTAAGGGCCATTAGCTGCTGGGCATGTTTGGAAAGCTGGATGGAGCAGGGCTGAGGATCCAGGGACACGTTTGACACCATGGGATGGAGCAGCTTTGCAGACGTGAGGACAATTTTTGGGCTGAGCATCGAAGAGAAGACCCCAAGAGGAGCCTGGATCTGGGCAGCCCAGCCTGTTTAGCTGCCACGTGGACAAGCAGCGGGGCCAGGGCAGCTGATCCCCCAAAAGGACGTGGTCCCATTGTTTGTGGGGTGACATTTGCTCCAACGGCTGCGGAAGAGGTGCAGGAAAAGAGCGGACAAGAGGTAACGTGGAATTTCACTGGGACTGGAGCCAGCTGAGGGACAGGGTGACAGAGGACAGCACTGTCCCACCAGCCTCTCCTCAGCCACTCTGTCCCCTCCCTCCCAAGCCTCCAAAGGTTGAAATTTCAGTGTTTCCAGGCAATATCTGGAGAGGGAGTGAAGCCTCCAAGGACCTCCAGGATTCAGGGAAACCCCGAGGGAGGGCCTGGGATGGAAGGGCAGGGGATGGTTTGGGTTGGAAGGGACTTTAAATCTCATTTCCAACCCCCTCCCACTAGACCAAACCCCATCCAACCTGGCCTTGGACACTTCAGGCATGGCTAAGGCCATCTCCAAGGTCAGGAAGTGCTGACACTTTGGCCCTGGTCAATGCAGAATAGAACATCCCAAGAATTCCAGCTGAGCTCATGAGGAGAAAAGGCAACTCCAACTTACCACTGTAGGGGAGCTCATCACTAATTGGTTCATCCACGAGCAAGGAGGTTTCATAAGTCCTGAAAAGATGGGAAAAGAGGAGCTCAGTTCATTGAAAGGGACATGGGAAATGCAGGGATAAATCCCACAGAAGGGCCCCTCACCAGGCAGAGGGGGCTCTCTGGACCAGCACTGTGCCACGTTCTGGACCGTGTAACCTCTTCCTCCTCCTCCTCCTCCTCCAGCTGGTGGTGCTGGATGAGGTGGGCAGGCACAAAGAAGGCAGCTGCCTACCCCAGAGCTCCAGCTGGATTGTCCTGTGTCTCAGATGCCACTGCCTTGGCTGCTGGGGTCACACAGGGCAGGAGAGGAGCTGGGATGGGGTCAGGAGGGACAGAGGAAGTCCAGACAGTGGATGTGCCACGAGCAGGCAGCCCACAGCCATGGCTGCACCTCCCTGGCTTGGTGTGGGGCTCTCTCACATGGCCAGCCTGCTCAGAAGGGGGAGCTCTGTTGTGTGGGTCCATGCATCAAATGCTGGCTGCTTTTGGGGCACAGAGGTGCCTGGGTGTTGTTTCTGGCTCACCTGTGAGGTGCTGTGTGGGACAATTAAAATGCTAATGGGTTCCTGCAGTGGGACAAGGACTGAGGCCCTGGAGGGACTCTGAAGCTGAGCTGAGGTGGTGGGAGCAGGATGGAGACGGGGAACAGGTGATCCCTGGTTGGGAGAATCAGGAGGAGAAACAATCAGCTGGGGTAATCCAGCTGCAGAGCCAGGAGGGAGCAGCTTGACAGCCCCAGAACCCCCTCCTCACCCTGGCTCACCCCACCAAGGCCAGGATTTGTCCTCAGGCAGGGCCAGGAAATGCCACCACACACCAGAGGCTGTGTGAAAATGGGAATGTCCCCTCGAATGGGGAGTCCTGATCAGCCTGGCATGGCTGGAGTCAGGAAAGGGGATGGGATGCTGGAAGGGGGCAGGGTGCAGCAATGCTCTGGGTGGGTGGGAACGCCCAGGAGGAGAAAGAGAGATTTATTGTGCAGGGCAGCATGCGTGGGCATGGGGAGAACAGGAATACACTGGCCATGACTGCATCCCCTCAGGGCCCTGCAGAAACCCAGAGCTGCCAGCTCCCCCTGTACACAGAAACTCTGAGCTTTGCTTTGTGGGCTCTTCCTCAGCTGAGACTTGCATGATGCAGCAGCTTGTTGGTCCAGGGTTTGGAGAGCTCTCCTCTCCTGTGGCTCAGCAATCTGTGGCAGGAGGAGAAGTTCTTGTTCTTGCCCAGATGTTCCATTCCTGTCTCCCTGTCAGGACAGCGGGCAGGTGGGTGTCACCTGTGATGTGGTGACACCCTGAAGTCACACTGATGGAGGAGGCTCCTGAGTGCCAACCTGGTCACCTGTGCAGAGGGACAGGAGCCCTGAGGCAGAGCTGAGAGCCTGGAGGAGGCACGGGCTGTGTGACAGACTGTAGTGGGATAATTCCCATTAGGGATTCCCATGGGATAACTCCCATGGAGGAATGTGTGCATGGATTGGAGCTCAGTTAAGAGGAGATGGGCTGGGAGGGGTTTCAAGGGTTGCATTCCTCAGGGTTTGGACGGAGAACTGGCAGGTGGCTGAAGGATGGAGAGAAGCAGGTCTGATTTCTGTAGCAAAGGAGTGGTGGGTGAAGCCTCCCAGAGCGAGGATAATGTGGTGGAGATGGAGAAGGAGGTCATGGGACCACTACAGCGTGAGATTTCCAATGGCTTAGCCACTCCTTTTTTAGGAAGGAGGGAGGGAGGCACAGGAGTCTCCCGGGGCTCTTTTTCCACCCTCTCCTCGGTGCTGGGATCCCCGTGTGGGGGTCTGCACCCCTCTCCCCCCCCACGCTGCTGTAGGATCAGTCCTGCTCTCACTGAGCCCCACTTCCACCCTTCTCCCTCCCATCGCCAGGGCTCAGTGCCCTAAAATTCAAGGGAAGGAAGGTGCCAGGGGAGCTCGGGGCTGGCACGCGTGCGGGTGAGGTTATTCACCCCGGGGCGGGCAGCAGCCTGGCAGCTTCCCTGAGCAGCGCTCCTGCGTGTCCTGCTGCAGCCTCCGGCATCTCCCCGAGCTCCTCTCCGCACCTTCCTCCGCCGAAACAGCTCCGGAGAGATTTTTTTTCTGGGCTCGGGACAGGCGGGTGCTCTTGTGGCAGAGCGCGCAGAGAGCGGCAGGCAGAGGCAGCTGGCTCCTTCGCGGGGAAGGCAGGCACGGAGCCGGGCCCCGGGGGCCGGAGGATGCTCGCCGCGGTGCCCAGCCGCGGGGATGCGGGGTTGCTAGGAGGCAGGTGAAGGTGAAGGTGAAGGTGAAGAGGAGAGCGCTGCGGAGGACCGCAGGCCCAGGTAGCGCCGCAGCGGGGCCGGGGGACAGGCGGGGGGGGACATTCTCCGTGCCGGGGAGCGGAGCCGGCGAGCGGGGAGGGAGCGGGAGCTCCTGGCGGAGCCGGGGCGGAGGGAGCCGGCTCGGTGCTGCGGGAGGACGATGCGGGAGCGGCCGGCGGCTCGGCCCTCCGCCAGCCCGGCTGCCACGGCTCCCTGCCCGCCGCGGCCGGTACCGGTGCCGGTGCCGGTGGAGGGCCTCGGCCGTGAGTACCGAGGGGAGCGGCGCGGCGCGGGAGGATGCTCAGCCATCCTCCGGCAAGGGCGAGCCGGGGATGCCGCCCGCCGCAGAGCCCCGGGCAGGCCGGGGCACCGGTGCCCTTGGGAAGCCGCCTGCAAGGGACGGGGGAGCGCCGCAGCCCGGGGCCGGCGGGGCCTGCGGGGACGCTGCCGCCGGCGCTGCCCTTGGGATGCCTCTTGCCGGGGCCGTGCGGGGCAGCAGTGTCCTTGGGAGACCGCCAGGAGCCAACTCCGGCCGGTCCTGCCCTCCGCACCGCACCGGACCCTGCGGGGCTCGGGCTGAGCTGCCCCGGATGGGAGCTGCCCCCGGCTGGAGCTGCCCTGGATGGGAGCTGCCCCCGGCTGGAGCTGCCCTGGATGGGAGCTGCCCCGGCTGGAGCTGCCCCGGCTGGAGCTGCCCTGGATGGGAGCTGCCCCGGCTGGGAGCTGCCCCGGCTGGAGCTGCCCTGGATGGGAGCTGCCCTGGATGGGAGCTGCCCCGGCTGGAGCTGCCCTGGATGGGAGCTGCCCCGGCTGGGAGCTGCCCCTGGCCCCGCAGGAGGAACGGGAGGATGGCACAGGGTGGGGGTGAGCGCCGCGGCTCTGACCTGCCTTTCCCCTCCTCCTAGATCCGCATGTCAGACTATCACAACCCCCACTATGGGGAGTCAGAACCCCAGCACGGCATTACTGTGGTCTTCCTCCTTGTCCTTGTCTTCTTCATCATGGGGCTGGTGGGGTTCCTGATCTGCCATGTCCTGAAGAAGAAGGGTTACCGGTGCCGCACCTTCCGGGACGAGCTTGACCCAGATGACAAAGACGAGGTGGAGGAGCTCGAGGATGGTGAGTGCTGGGCAGTGGGGGCTCGCTGGGGGCTCAGCCTTGTGCCTGCTGTGGGCTGGTGCTCCTCATGCACCCTTCTGGGCTGTGGGATGGGGCTGGGAGGGTTACCTGTCACGTGTGGCTGGGCTGGGATAAAGGGCTGGGGCAGTGAGAGCAGCATGGTGCTCCCTGGGGATCGGGAGTGTGAGGGCCAGGGATCCCTCTGATCCACGAGCTGACAATGGCTGGAGGTGACAGGGAGGTGGGAGCCAGTGCCTGGCCCTTCGCAAAGGAGCATTATCACCAGAAGGAAATTCTGATGAACATCCAGGACTTGGTGAATCCCCAGCATTTCAGTCATAACCTCTGTTCCCTCAAGGAAAACCTCTCCCAGCTGGAGCACAAGTGCCTCTGCCCCTCTGGCATTAGGATGTCTGGCAGGGAGCCAGCTGGGGTTTGTTATTGGCCATGTCTTCTTCTGGTCCCTGCTGTATTCTTGCAGACCACAGAAGTAGGGCTGGTGTTGGAAGGGGAAGGGACCTGTAGGGAATTTTTCCCATGGCTTCAGGGCACTGCAAGTTGCTCTGGGGTGGTTGGATTGGGAAGTCACTGCCGCACTGAGCGTGGGTGCCCGGCCCAAGCGAGCTCTGTCATCCGGTGCTTTCCTGAGTCTCTGCTGAAGGGGGAACACACATTCCTCCGGCTGCTTCCCAGGCTGGGAACAGCCACATGGTGCCACAGAACTCCTCCAGCTCCACGTGCTGTGGCAGTGCTGGGGAGGATCAGCACCTCCTGCTGCTGCTGCCTGAGCTCAGGAGGGAAATGCAGCTCCTCGGGCTCGTCCTCGGTGCAGCCAGAGCCTCCACGTGCCCATGGATGTGCTCCTCTGGCTTTAATGTCTTGGCTGTACATGACATGGAGACAGTCTCTGAGCCTTCCAGGATAGGCTTTGCCCTCTGGACACGCCACAGCCCAGGGAAACATCTCCATGGGATGATGGAGATCTTCCGAGATCATGGTAGCAGCTCTTGAGCCTTTGAGGCAGCTGCCTGCCAGACCATGGCTCCAACCTGCTTACAGGAACATCTCACACTGCTGACCAGGCTGGAGGTCCTGGCAGGGTGACAAGTCCATCCATCCATCCATCCATCCATCCATCCATCCATCCATCCATCCATCCATCCCGGCCTCCTGCCTCCAACAGTGGCTGGAAGCAAGGTTGAGTTAATGCTGTGGGTGAGCTCCACAGCAGAGCAGGCACCAGCCAAGATTGCTCAGAGCAGTCTTTTAAGCTTTCAACAGTGTGCAGCTCTGGGGCTCTCTCTATCACCGTGTGTTCCCCATTTCTGTATTTAGTGGATCCCAGTGGGTTTATTTTCTGTGGACGTGTCCTGTCTACCCTTGGAGCCTTGAGCACTTGCAGCATCCTGCAGCCAGGGGGTCCTGGGCTGGACAAGGACCCTCCTCTTTCAACTTTTTAGAACCTGCTTCCCTCTCATTTCTCCAAATGCTCTGCACACACCCCCTCTCCCTGCACACACAGCTGCTGGCTCAGCCGTTTCTTTTCCAGGATGAGGGATCTGGTGTTCCCCAGTGGCTTCCCAGTGTAACAGGGGACTCGAGGCTTCTCCAACAACTCTGCTGATGCAGCTGCTCCTGGGAAGGGATGAGTGAGCAGAGCCCCGGAATCCCAGCCCTCAGTGCCACGTTGTCTCTTTTCAGATGAGGCCGAGAAGAACGATGACACCGTGGAGAAGATTGTGAGATGCATCATCCAAAATGAAGGTGAGCACTTCTTGGGCCGGCCTGGAGCCATGCTGACCACTTTGGCTTGTTTGTCCTTCTCCCTTCAGCATTCCCCTTTTTCCCTCTCTCTTCAGCAAACGTGGAGGCCCTCAAGGAGATGCTGGGGGAAAATGAAGCAGATGTGCCAGTGCCAGTGCCCAGGTGAGGGAAGCTCACAGCAGCTTGTGGCTGCTCCAGAGTGAGGGATAAGCAGCCCCTTTCCAGCTGCTACAAAGCATCTTCCCAACGGGGAGTCCTGCTCTCCTGAGGGCTTTGAGGAGTGCTTCACCCCACTGTCAAGTGCAGCAGCTCTTCCTCATTCCTGTCCCCCCCAGAGCTGCTGCTCCCAGGCCGTGCTGCAGTGGGGCTGCACCAGGGTTGGGGCGTCTCCCCAGGGTGACACAACCTGTCATCTTCTGTTGCAGCCTTTGTCACCACAGCAGCAGCCAGGACGGGGGCCCACCCCATCACCACACGGTGCACCTGGGCTCCACGCACGCCCCCTGCATCCACTGCAGCAGGAGGAAGAGGCACCCCCTGCAGCGCCAGGGGCGCTCCAAGGAGGGCAAAAGCAGGATGCATCCTGGAGAGACCACCGTCTTCTCAGTGGGCAGGTACCCAAACGGGCTTTGCCAGCCATTTCTCTGCTGGAATGAGCACTACAGGCTCTCCTCAGTCCTCCTGTTCCTTCCCCCTTCCCCACGTGCCCAAGGTTCCCTCTTGCTGTTGCACACGGAGATGCCCCAGCAGCAGCTCTGCAGCTGGAGCCCCTGAGCAGCCAGGTGGCTGCTGCACCTGGAAATGCCTGTGGTATGTGGCAGGCTGTGATGCACCGGTGGCTTCCCTCCTTCTCTGGGAAGGTGACTCAAGCTGGGTTTTCCTGCTGAGTCAGTGCTGGGCACAGCCCCAGCTCCGTGTCCTTCCAGAGCCCGCTGTCCCAGCTCAGTGCAAGCAGGGCCTTGCTGCCCAACTGGGGGCTTCAGGGACCTCACTGGGGGGGACAGAGGGGACAGCATGTCCCAGGTGCAAGCCACCACCTGCTCAGGATGAAAGAGTGGCTGTGCTGCTCCAGGTCGCTGCCTCCAACGATGTCTGTAATTAGATGACACAGCAGCAATGTAAGAATAGGGGAGTGTTCCTGATACTTCCCACAAATGCTTTCCATCCCCACCTGGTTTCACCTCAAGGGACTTCCTGAGCTTCCTGTGGTCTCACTGTGTCGTCACTAACCTGTAGAGCAGTCTGTAGGCTCACCCAGGCTGCCCCATTCCCCAGCAGAAAGGGTTTGGAAAGGTCCTGGGCTTGGCTCCCTCCGGCTGTGGTGGCTGGGGCAGGGTGGCAAGAAGCTGATGGTCCCTGGATGGCCACCATGGTGAGACACAAAGCTCTGCCATGCTCAGATTGTGCACAAGGTCCTCATTCAGGGCCTGAGCCTTGATGGAACTTCATGTTGTGGTCCAGAGAGACAGTCCTTTCATGGGAATGCTGAGCCAAAGTGGGAATGGAATTGTGGAATGGTTTGGTTTGGAAAGGACCTCAAAGTTCATCTCATTGGGCAGGGACACCTTCCACTAGCTCAGGGTGCTCCAAACTCCATCCAGCCTGGCCTTGGGCACTGCCAGGGATCCAGGGGCAGCCCCAGCTGCTCTGGGCACCCTGTGCCAGGGCCTGCCCACCCTGCCAGGGAACAATCCTAATTCCCAATATCCCATCCATCCCTGTCCTCTGGCAGTGGGAAGCCATTCCCTGTGTCCTATCATGTGGATTTTTCCACCACCACGGGCAGGAGCCTCAGCAGGGAGGTGAGCTGGGGCTTTCTGGGCAGCTGGAGAAGCAGGGGGACCTGCTGGACTCACCAGGCCCAGCTCAGCTTGGATCACATCTCATGGGCACTGCCAGCTCCTGGCTGCTCTGTGCCTGTGGCTGTCCTTGGAGGTGGTGCCCGGCAGGCTGGGGTTCTGCACAGCTCCTGCTCACCACTAATTCACTCCCTGGCTGGTGCCCAGCTCCATCCCCTCCTCCATGTCCTCTGTCCGTGCTCTTCCAGCCTCCTCTCAGCACTGGGAGTGCTGGACAAGATGCTCTCCTTTCCCAAAGGCACCTTCCCTCAATTCCTGTTTTTCCTCTTTAACCCTGTTAGTGTCACACCCCACAGCAGCCCTCTCCACAGGGCAGTCATCCCGCTTCTCCAGGGCTTTACTTTCAATCCTGAATCTCTTTGTACAAGGTCCAGCTGCTAAGGGACCTATGTGCCCACGAGGTGCAATCCCACCCTTAAATTCTGCTTCTTATTTCCAGGCTGGCCCCTTTTCCCTTCCAGATCCTCCAGGATTGCCCTTCCTGTGTCTTATTTATGACAAATATCTTGAAGTACTTTGACCCAGCACTGACCCTACAAAACAGGACTTCTTTAACCCACCCCTAGAATTAAAGACACACTCTCAGGTCTTGTTCTCCTTTGTTTTTGGTATTGTTCTTGCCTTGGATGCAGTGGTTGAGAGTCCAGCCCCCTCCTACATGGAATGAGCCCTGGTAGGCACAGGCTCATCCCTGAGGAGTGGAAAGGATGGGAGCTGTGGAGGTCCACCAAGATCATCAGGGCTGGAGTATGGGGCACCTGAGGAGGCTTTTTTGGCCTGGAGCATTAGAAAGGGATGATCTAATTGTCCTCTAACACTTCCCAAAGGGTGGGTGGAATTTAAATGAAGGTGGAACAAGACTCGCCTCAGAGATCTGCACTGGGAAGGGCAAGAGGCAATGGCCAAGAGTTACAACAAGAGAAATCCAGAAAAGATGCAAGGAGAATCTGTTCTGCCATGAGGATAGTGCAGCCCTCGACAGGGCCCTGAGGAGTGGAGGAATCTCCATCCCTGAAGATTTCCAAAACCTGACTGATCAGGGCTCTGGGCAAAGTGCTTGAGGATAGGAGGGGGCCCAGATACGAGCAGGGGTCTGGAATTGAGACCTCCTGAGGGCTTTTTGCACCTAAATTGTTCTAAACTTGTGTGGGACTCAGGGTTATGTATGGAATAGGATGATTTACCACTTAGCTCAGCGCTTGCCCTCAGCCAGGTGTAGTCAGTGGCAGAGCTTGTCCATAAAGCATCTGTGTCTGACCCTCTGTCCTCAGCCCCATCAGCCAGAGTGTGTCACACCCCACTGAATCCCAGGGATGCTGATGAGGCAGCCAGGCAGGGCTCCTCTGCTTTCCCCCCAGAGGTTGGCTATGTTACTTCTTGTGCCCTCTCTGGTCCAAACACTTCCTGCTCTCTGACCCCACTCCTGACTCTTCCAGGCTGACATTGCTCAATGGCATTACCAAGAAGTGATCCTGTCACTGTGTCTCCTTCCTGTTCCTCTTCAGGGCCAGAACATTCTTTGGTCTCCCCAAAGTGCTGGTGTCTTATCTCCGAATATCTGGACAGACCTGAAAGGTCACATTTGCTGCTGCTTGGCCTGGGAACCTTCTCTGGAGCTGGAGCATTTCTCTTCTCCACCCTCCCAATCCTGAGCAGCTTTCTGGCCCTGCTGAGGGGTTGCTGCTGCCCACGGGCTGGGCTCCAGCCTGGAAGTGGTCTCCTTCATCTCTGCCAACTCTCCTGGCATCTGTTCTTATCTTTTGGACCTCTCTGCTTTTTCCTTTGAAGAGCAGTGCTGCCATGTGCTTGACCTTTGTGTCTTGCTGTTCTTTCCACACCAGCAGCACTTTCTGAAATTGTGCTTTGCCCTGACACTGCCTTGCAGCTGAACTCAGCCAGGTCTGTTGGTTTTCCATGTGTGATCCAAGCACAGTGAGAGCAGCTGGTGGGCTGCACGAGCTCTCAGTGCTGCCATTGGAGTGCTCTGCCTGGTGGACACCAGCTCACCATGGAGGAGATTTCCTCTCTGCTGGTCCAGTGCTGGTGAGGAGGAGTCACGATCAGCACAATCACAATTCAGATTTTCAGGCTTTGCTGACACCTTGCCCCTCCCAGGCTGAGGGAATTGGGAGAGGAGAAAGCTCCAAGAGGACTTTAGAGCCCCTTCCAGTGCCTAGAGGGGTTCCAAGAGAGCTGGAGAGGGACTTGGGATGAGGGCACAGAGTGACAGGACAAGGAGGAATGGCTCCCTGCTGCCAGTGGGCAGGGTTAGAAGAGATATTGGGAATGAGGAATTGGTAAGGAGGCCCTGGCACAGGGTGCCCACAGCAGCTGTGGCTGTCCCTGGATCCCTGGACGTGTCCAAGGCCAGGCTGGATGGGGCTTGGAGCCACCAGATTGAGGAGTTGTCCCTATCCATGGCAGGGGGTGGGACTGGATCATCTTTTAGGACCTCCTTCCAACTCAAGCCATTCCATGAGTCTATGATCCCTTACCCCTCTCTTCTCCCCACGTGCAAGGTTGCATCACCTCTGATTATGAGCCCACCCTTTGAGGCTGTCAGACCCATTTCTGCAGCTTTCCTCCTGCCCACCCAGAGCTCTGAGCTGTTACCTGCTCATGGTGGAACCTTGCTGAACACTCAGGTACCATCTGCCCATCCAGGGGATGGTGCAAAATGTGCTCTGGCAGATTTTAGCCAAAAAACTCCTCCAGCCTTTGATCCCTGTATCCAAATCACTGCCAAACCCCTGTCCTGCCCTCACTGAGGGCATGCTGTCATCCAGGCTGTCTTGGAGCATTTCCAAGAGCTGTGATCCATCTTGCTGCTGGGAGGACAAGCTCTGCTCCAGCCAAGACCTGGATTGCACTTCCCATCCTTCCCTTTCTGTTTGTTTTGCTCAAAATGAAGGGGAAAATAAATCTGGGGACACGGCTTTTGTAGGTGTGAATGGGTCAGACAGGTTGGAGATCACAGCAAAGCGAGGAGATCCGGGGCTGGAGGTACAGAAAAGCTGGGAATCCAGTGGTGGGACAGCATGGAAAAGAACTGCTTGTAGGAGTGTTGGGGGGTAGGATGGTTGGGACAGATGGAGATGAGAGATCTCTGCAGCCAGGTCGTGGAATTTGGGGTTTATTGCAAAGGGCCTGGGGGCAGGGCCCTGCTGGGAGCTGCCAGGCACAGCTCAGAGAAGGACTGAGAGAAGAGAGGGGCAGAGAGGATGAGAGGGTAAGAGAGTAAAAGGGGTAAGAGAGCGAGGTTCCCATTACAATACAATAAATCTTCTTCTGTGTTGAATATTCTCATTCTCACTAACCAATCTAGTCCAATATACAAATCCTATAGCATTTACATACAACCTATAAGAATCATTACATTACCATACTGTGTTACATTTTAAACCCTAAAAACTCCTCTTTGGGCCCCTTCTGCCAAGCTGTAGGGTCTGCTCTGACCCTTGGAGCTGCCTGCAAGCAGAGGGTGTTGTTCCATCCAAAGGGGATCACCTTCAGCTGGCCACACCATTATTTTCCCATTGTTCAGTAACTAAGGGATCTCAAAGCTTGCTTTCATTTCAATCTCACTTATAGTTTCTATATTCTCAAAATCTTTTGCCAGACAATCACATTTATAAGGCTTTCCTGTTTCATCTTCCCCACCATCCTCTGTGTCCTGTTCCCATTGCAGGTTCCGTGTCACACATATTGGGAAGAAGCCGTGCCTGCAGGAGCAGCCGGATGGGGCCCTGCCCGCGGGCAGCCGCCCGCCGAGCACGGAGGAGCTGGAGCGCAGCAGCGAGCTGCTCAACGGGACTGTCCCCACGGCTGGCCTGCAGAACGGAGCCATCCACACGGGCACACAGAGTGCCAGGAGCGCCCAGCACAGCGTGTCCACCAGCCCGGCCGCCAACACACCCGCCAGCTCCGGCACCCGTGACAGCCGGCGGGCGGGCACGGTTGGGTCCGGCCTGGTTGGGTCTGGCCCGGTTGGGTCCGGCACGGCGGGGTCAAGCATGGTTGGGTCTGGCCCGGTTGGGTCCGGCCTGGTTGGGTCCAGCATGGTGGGGTCCAGCACGGTTGGGTCTGGCACGGCAGGGTCTGGTCGGGCAGGGTCCCTGCCGGGTGCTGGATCCGCTCCCGGGAGCTCAAGCCGGCAGCGCAGGCTGCTGAGCCTGCCAGTGCTGGGAGCATCGAGTCCCAACATCCCGGGAGAGCTGGCGAGGGAAGGAGCCGGTGTCTGCCTGGAGGAGATGGGACTGGCATCGGCAGATGAAGTGTCGGATATTCACGGGAGCCTGAGCCTGCAGGAGCAGGCCGAGGAGCTGGGGAGAGACGAGAGCGGCAGGAAACAGTCCGGAGGGGAGGATGGGAAGCAGCAGGTATGTTCCTCCTCCTCCTCCTCCCCCTGGTCCCCATGTGGTCCCCTGGGCTGGAGGGGGGTTGCTTTTTCCTACTTATTTTTCAATGTCTGAGGCAGTCACAGTCACATAGGAGTGACTGTGACAGGTCTCACCCTGCTTCAGGGGCAGTGGGAGGTGCTGCAGACTTGCCGCCCATTCCCCTTGGCAAGGAACTCCTTTTCCTTTGGGGACATCCATTGGGATTTTGACCTGGCAGAGCTCCACTGCTGTACGTGGTGTCCCCAGAGCTGTAGCCTCACTGGGGTCCAGTGTGGCCAGTCAGGAACAGGCAGGGGCAGATTTCTCCAGGAGCCTTCCTTACCTCGAAGGCCAGGAAATGGCAAAGCCAAGTGGTCATGTCTTGGTTGCTTTCCCTGCTCCTGAGGAGCTGTGCTCAGAGAGGAGGAAAGCCCACCCTGCCTGGAGCTCCCAGTACCCTGGTACCTCCCAATGTCCCACCCAACCACCTTGCTGGAGGGGTTAGACAGCTCCAGGGGATTTTCTCCCTGGAATTGCCTCTGTGCTGGTACCAGTGAGCAAATGAGGCTGGTGGTGGTAGTTCAGACACCCAGAATTTTGCTTACACACTCATTTGTGGTTCTGCAGCTGGGAAAAGGTGTTTTTCATGGAAGGGGGCTGTGTAGTGTCAGCAGCTCCAAGAGCGGGGCCTTAACTTGCCTCACAAAACCAGCACGATGTGGCAAAGCCCTTGGAAGAAAAAGGAAGCCAAATGCCTGGGTAAAATTCCTGGCATGCTTCAAAGCCGTGGAGATCCCCTGGGGCTGGTTCTGCACGGGCTGGGCACATGCCAGCAGCCCTTGGCAGGGAGTGGGATGGGGCAGGACTGGGTCAGCACGGGAGAGGCCTGGGGAAGGTGCCTGGCTGGATGCTGGATAAGGACAAAGCAGGATCCCACCGTTTCCCCCTTTGCTTTCTGGTGAGCAGGCTGGAAGGTTTGAGCTGTTTCATGGAGAAGGGCAAGGCAGGATAGAGCTGATGGGCTGCAGCCCTTCCCCAGAGACATGGGAAGGTAGTGACAGGTCCTCCTGTGTCCCACTGAGCCTTGGGAATCCCTCTGATCCCTGGGGAAGCAGTTAAGTGTAGGGCAAGCCCAGTGCCAGGCTCCTGCCTTGGATGCTGCCCATGGTGCTGGGGTGCTCCAGGACACGGGGTCCCAGGATAATGGTGACAGGACCTCCCTGGGGTGTTTGTCACCAAGCCCTGGTGCCATTTGGACCATTCCCCATGCCCTCAGTCGCAGTCAGAGCCAGCACCAGGGCTGTTGGCTGCTGCTCCTCACGTCCTGCAGGTGGTGGGGAAGGGCAGAGAAGGTGCCTGGGCTGTCCTCGCTCCTGGAGACTCGGTGGGGCTCTGCCCCTCGGGTCACTGCTGTGGCCACGGGGGAGCCCAGCTCAGCCCCAGCTCCATGGGAGCACTCACCCCTCTCCTCCATCCCACAGGAGCCCAGCGCCGCGGAGCAGGACCGTGTGTGAGGTGAGTGCCTGTCCCTGCCCCTGTCCCCTGCCCCTGGGACAATGCCTGGGGGGTGGGAGGGCACTGCCGGTGTCCCTGCCCTGCTGGCTCTCAGCTTGCTGCAGGAGATGGAGAGAGGCTGAACCCTTTCTCCAGGGGTCGGGACGTGCCCAGCCGCAGGCAGCGACCCCGGGAAGTCCCATTTGGGTGCTGGGGAGGTGCCGTGGCTGCGGGGACCAGCCCCATCCCGCCTCTCTCCCACAGCTCCTCTCCGCTCCCGGCTGGAGCGTGCACGGGAGGCGCGCAGCCCCCGGGCCCCTCGGGGCTGGGGCTCTGCCGTGGGGCAGCCGCGGGGCAGCCGTGCCCGGCCCCGGGTGGGCAGCTACGCGCTTGGCATGGCCGGAGCGACGCGCCCGCGACACCGACAACCGCGCTCGGCGCCAGCCTTCATCCCATTGGCAATAGGTACCCGAGTCCCACCCACCGCACCCTCCCCGGAGACCCCCCCGAGGGACCCTCGGGCCCGGCAGGGGCAGGGCGGCACCCAGAGCCCGCTGCCCCCGCGGCCCCCAGCTCGGGGCAAGGATCAGAGGGGGCCGCGGCCAGGGGCAGGGATGGAGGCAGCGGCTTGAGCCCCACCGCCCACCGGGCACGTTCAGCACAGAGCACAGCCCCCCCGGGCACCCCTGCCACGCAGAGCGGGCACAGGCACAAACCCTGCACCGGCAGGTCCCTGGGAGATGCTGGCGGAGAGAGGAGCTCCCGGCCCCACCCCGGCACAGGCCCGGGGGGCGGGATGGCCCCGGGCCAGGCCAGCGGGCAGCGCCGGGGCCGCGCCAGCTTCGGTGTGTAACGCCCTGTACATAGACGAGCTACAACCATTAAAGCTGCTGAACCCCTCGGCTGGGCCAGCGGGATTTATTGATTTATTGGGAACAGCCCCCCACGGCCACTCCTGCCTGTGGGGGCTGGCAGGGGCCGGAGAGGAGCCCCCCAGGAACCAGGGCTGAGCTGGGAGTGCACGGGTGATGCCAGGCAGGAAGGGTGGAGGCAAAAGGAGGGTGAGATGGGGCCTGGCTGTGGCACTGGGCACCCCATAAAGGGGTTCTGGGTGCTGTACTGGGATGCAGGACCACTCTGCAAGCAGGGTGCAGCCCCTGGAGAGACCAGCTCGGGGCACGGGGCAGCAGCAGTTCCTGCTGCTGGGACAGCAGCCTGTGGTGGTTTGCTCAGGCAAAGCTTTTTTGGGGGAGGGGGCTGGGGGCATCCACAGGGTCAGCTGAAGTGAAGCTCGGGGTCGGGCTCGGGGGCTCTGCCGGGTGGTGGGGGCGGCGCACGGAGCTGCAGAGAGGGAGAGGAGAGGGAAAGGAGAGGGAGAGAAGTGGTGCCAACATGCTGAGGCCACTCATCCCCCTTCAGACCCCCCAAAACACACGGGTGGCTCCATTACAGAAGGGCTGGGGCAGATTTTGGGGTCACAGCATCCCTGTGAAGGGACTTACCGGCCGCAGGCGCGTGGCTGCCAGGTCTGGAGAGCTCTGCCCGCTGCCCGTGCCATCCTGCCGGCAACCTGGGAGTGCCCAGCAGCTCAGCCTGGCTTTTGGGCTCCCCCAGCCCCTTCCCAGTTTGCACAGTTTCCCCAGCACTCACCTCCCAGCGCTGTCTCAGGAGCAGAGCTGGGGACCAGGCTGGCCCCGGGTGTGAGGCCAGGAGGGGAGAAGGGCGGAGGGGATGGTGATGGCAGCTCCTGGGAAAAGACACAGCCAAGAGGGATGGGCATGGTGGGAAGGGGGCTTCACCTCAGCACCCATGGAAGTGCCAGGGTGACACAAGGACCCTCCTGGCACCAACCTGCCCAGCTGCCTCCCGGGCCCCGGTGAGCTCCTCCACCACCAGGGAGGGGAAGACGCCGACGCGGCCGTCGAAGTCGCCGGTCCAGAAGCCATCGTCCACCTCGCCAGCAGCACGGGGCAGCACCCGGATGATGGCCCCCTCAGGGAAACTCAGCTCCTCGGGGCTCTGCCCCTCGTAGTCGTACAGGGCTCGCACCAGCCAGGCTGAGGGGAGGGTGGGGAGGGGGCTCAGCACCCTCTGGATCCTGCCCCCCTCTCTGGGGTGGGGGTGATGCCCAGCACCCACCTCCAGGCTCCAGCACCAGTTCTGCAGCCATGATGCTGGAGAGCTGGCGGTGCAAGGCAGAGGGGCCTGGGGGGCCCAGCCCAGCCCCCGAGTCACACCCCAGGGACAGCAGGTACTTTTCAGGGACGTAGCCGACCTGCCCTGCCTTGTTCCGAGCCTGAGGAGGCAGAAACCACGTGAACATCCCAGGGTCCAGAGTGGGGTCAGCCTGGGGACCTCCAAAAGGTGTCCCCCAGTAGGGAGGGGGGCTCAGCCTGCTCCCACCTTCACCCACTCCTCTGCGTCCCCATCCTCGATGATCTCCAGCTCCTCGCCCTGGCTGATGGACAGCTCGTCTGCCTGGCAGCCCTGCAGGAGATGGGGACAACGTGGCAGAGAGGCTGAGGTGCCATCTCTGGGCAGGCAGGGTGAGGGCCATGCAGGCAGGGCCATACCTGGTAGCCAAAGATCACCCTGCAGGTGTAGGGGTAGGTGCGGGCAGCAGGCCCAGGCTCATCGTCCTCATCGGCCTCATCGCTGTCCTCGTAGTCATCGAACTCAGCCAGGTCCAGCCCTGTGGGCGTCTCCTCGCCTGTCCCCACCATGGCCCCGGCCAGCCAGGCGTCCACGTCCAGCCCTGCTGCCCGCAGCAGTGCCAGCCGTGCCTCGGCCTTCACTCGGCTCACCTGGGGACACCGCACATTGTCACAGTGCCCAGGATACCTCTGGCGGTGTCCCAACCCCATCACCCCCATCCCCAGGCGTGGTGGCATCCCCAGCATCACACCCCAAGTGCAGCATCCCAGCCACCACCCCTCCCTGTCCCTACCTCCCCCACCCTGGGGGTGACAGACCCTGATGTCACCCCAAGCTCCCTGATGGGGGCTCCCACCTCTGCCTTGCGGATGTTTTCCCTCACTTCCTCCATCTGCCGCTCCACGGTTGCTGCCTCTGCCTCCAGCCCCTGCTGCCGCCTGGCCTCCAGCCGCTGCAGCACCTGGGCGGGCACCCACAGCTCAGAGGGTGTGGCAGCTGCAAAAGCCCTTCCCTGAGCCCCGCAGTGCCCCGTTGGGGAGGACAACACCCACCTCCTCACTGTGTGCCCTGTTCTTGTGCTCCCGGGCCACCCGTGTGGCCCAGCGCCGTGCCTCCTTCTCCAGGCTGGCCCCGTCATCTGCTGGTGGCAGCAGGCACACCTGGGCAAGGACACAGCGGTGACAAGGGGGTGGCTGTGCAGACCCCAGTGTGCTGTAACTATCCCCTCCACTTACCTCCTCCATCCCTGTGAGCTGGAAGCGCTGCTCGGGCGCCAGGGAGAAGGCGGGGTGGTCCTGCAGGAAGAGGAGCAGGTCCTGCTCCTGGCACACCTGCAACAGGGGAGCGGTGTGGGGCCAGGGGCTCACCTGTGCCCTCGTGTCCCACCCAGCTCGGGGGACAGTGCTCTTACCCGTGCAGATGCCTCCACAACACCCTGGAACCAGTCCCGGGTGGCCCTGCAGGTCTCCACCTCCGTCCTGCTGGCAGCTGACAAGTGCTCCCGAAGCCGCTCATAGAGGTCCCCATCCAGAGCCTAGGGGAAAGCAGAGGGAACCCCCCAGCACTGCCACATCCCCCCACTGGAGCATGCCTGACCCCCAGGGCAGCCAGCCCTGACCCTGTGCAGTGGGACACTCTGTGCTGGCGGTGGGGAGATGCTCCTTGTGGGACCCTGGGGAAGGGGCACGGGGGGCCCGGGCATCTCCTACCTGCATGGCTGCAGGCAGCTCCACACGCTGGTAATGCTCCAGGTGGGCAGAGGCAGACACCAGGGCGAAGCTGTACTCGTTCTGCACCCCCGCCAGCTGCCTCGAGTGCTCGGCCAGTCGTGCTGAGAACTGTGGGGACGTGGGCAGCGAGGCTTGGCGGTGGTGCCCCGTGTCCCCAGCATGGGTACCCTGCCATCCCCCATGCCACCCACCTTGGCACTGAGCTTTTGCAGGCTGGCCTTGGTGTGAAATATCCGCCGGTCGCTCTTGCGGAGGCTGGGGAGGGTGGAGGGGGGTGTGAGACCACCCTGAGCCACCGCAGCCCCCGGCTCCATGTGCCCCACTCACCGCGCCTCCACGTCGGCCGCCTTGTCCTTGGCCACCTCGCTGCTGCGCCGCAGGTGGCTGAGCTGCTTCTTGGCCTTGTCCAGCTCCTTCACCGTCTCCAGCAGCTCCACCTGCGCCTTCTGCAGCCGCTCGATGCCCTGCGGGGAGCGTCAGCTGGGGGGGACAGCTGTCCCCCCGCCCGGGCACAGGGACATGGCCTTGCCCCGGTACCTTCTTGAGCGTCCTCTCCTTGCAGAGGCGGGCGCTGCGGGCGGCCTCGGCGGCCAGGGCGCGGTAGCTCTCGGAGGCGGTGACACGGACCTGCCCAGCGTGTGCTGTCCCCTCGATGACGCCTTTCCAGACAGCTGCCACGCTCCTGTGGGCACAGGGCTAACACAGGGCCGGGCACTCCCTGCCCCGTGACACCTTTTGGGGATGCCCAGCAGGACTGCCAGCACTCCCAGTCACAGCAGACTGGAACTGGGGACATCCCACCCACAGCTGTGTCCCAGTGACATCCAAATCCTGGCTGGCATTAAGCATCTCCAAACTGGGAGGGCCATGGGCAGGTATGGCAAGCCCCAGCTGCTTGTCCCCAGCCCTGTCCCTGTCCCCAGCCCACCTGGAGTCGCCAGCCTCGCCACGGCCCCGCTGCCAGTCTCTCTTCACGAACTGGCTGGCCAGCCTCTGCAGAGCCTGCAGGCAGAACCAGCATCACCAGCACTGCCTGACCCTGCCGAGCAGCCCAGCACCCACCAACCCCCCCTGGGCTCAAAATGGAGCTCCCCCACCCTGGCTGCCCACCCCATGGACCTGGGGACACACACGTGTCCCCTCAGAGCACAGACACATCCCCATGGCTCAGTGTCAGCAGGAATTGTGCTCCCCAAAACCTTCTTGGGGGGCAGCCACCACAATGAAAGGATCCCCCCGCTGTGGCTTTTGGGACAGAGCACCTGCAAGGGGACATCACTGAGGGACACTGGCTACAGATACAGAGTAGAGGAGCCCCAGCAAAGCCAAGCACAGCAAGACCCCAACCCTGGGGGTATGGACGGTCACCCCCAGCCTGGGGGGTGCGAGGGAGGGCAGTGACACGGTGACCAGCTGCAGGAAGGGGGGACACAGTTCTGCTGCAGTATGTCCCCAGGGGATGCTGCAGGGACATCTCACATTAAAACCAAACTGACATTTCAGAGCAGAGCCCTGCGATGACCCAGCAGACAGCAGAGCCCAGCGGTTTCCTCCCCCACAAGGTTTTCCCTCCAGGCTCCCAAAACACCCAAGGTCTGGGCCACGCCGTGCTCAGCAGAGCCCCCAGCGGGTGCTGGACGTGGTCAGGGTCCTCCCGGCAGGATGAGCCATCTGCCACCACCCTGCGGGGCCAGCACGGAGCAGCCACGCTCGGGTGATTTCCAAGGCTGCCCTCTGCCTGCGTGGGGCCTGCCCAGCTCCTGCCCCAGGCCGGCAGGATGGGGCCTGGGCCTCCCAGGACATTGATCCCATATCCCGTGGCACCTCCTTACCTGCCCGTACTCCCTGTCAATGGTGGCCCTCTGCTTGCTGTAGGACCTGGGGGGAGAGGGGACACAGGGAGGACACACAGAGAGGGGCAGGCATGGGCCACCCCTCCCATCACCTGCTGCCACCATCCTCCTCTTACCATCTCCCCCTGCCACCATCCTGTCCCCATCAGGCCACCCCAGTGGGTGATGGAGCCCATGACCTCGAGGTGACAGGCTCAAGGTGAGCCAAGCCCGGTCCCTGGCCCACCCGTGCCGGGTCTCAGCTTGGGGACACACACATACAGACACAGACAAACAGACACAGACACATGCACAGACACACACAGACACAGACACACACATGCACAGACACGGGATGAGATGCCCGGTGTCAGCTTGGGGACACACACACACGCGGGATGAGCTGTTTCATCTCAGCCTGGGGACACACACACAGGATGAGCTGCCCGGTCTCAGCTTGGGGACACAGACACAGACACAGACACACACAGACACACAGACATACACAGACACACACACTGGTGGGACGAGCTGTTTCATCTCAGCCTGGGGACACACAAACACAGACACACAGACACACACACAGACACACACATAGACACACACACGGGATGAGCTGCCCGGTGTCAGCTCGACCCCCGTGTCACCTGTGCGGGCCCTACCTGATGTCCTCCAGCAGCTCGGCGTCCCGCTGCTGTTTGCTCTGCAGGCCCGACAGCTGCTCCAGGAGATGGACCCGCAGCTCCTGCGTGAGCTTCACCTGCGGGAAGGTCCCGCTCAGCCCCGCGGCCGCGGCGGGCACGGGGAGCGGGGATGCGCTGTCCGCCCTGCCCGGGTACCGCTGCCCACCGGCCCCCCCTCCTGAGCACCGCCCAAACGCGGCCTCGCTTCCCCAGCCCCGGGAGGCTCCGCCGGGGGCGAGTCTCGGTCACGGCTGCAGGACACGGCAGCGAGGGAGGACCCGGCCCCGGTGACCCGGCCCGGCACGGCCCGGCCCGGCCCGGCGCTCACCTTGCGCGGCGGCGGCTGCATGGCTGCGCTGCCCCGGTGCCGGTGCCGATCCCAATCCCGGTGCCGATCGCCGCCGCCCCGATCCGCGTGCGCGCAGCCCGGAACTGCCGGGCCGGCCGCGCCCCGCCCACTGTCCGCGCCCCGCCCACTGACCACGCCCCTCACAGACCACGCCCCATCACAGACCACGCCCCAAGACGAGCCCTGCCCCATCAGGCCCCGCCCACCACTCACTGACGGATACGCCCCCAGTTCCGCCTCCAACCAGCCCCGCCCCTTTACCCGCTCTGCCGGGAGCCCCGCCCATCTCAAGCCCCGCCCCTCGGGGGCTGCAGCGCCGCCTGGTGGTCGCTGGTGCACGTGTGGGCGGGGCGCTGGGACACGGGGACTGGGGACGGGGAGACACGGATGTGGGAACACGGGGATATGAGAGGGAGGGACATGAGGACATGGGGATGTGGGAAGACAGGGACATGTGACAGAGATATGTGACATAGGGACATGGGGACGCATAAGGGGTGACAAGGATATGTGACACAAGGACATGGGGATGTGTAGGTGGGGAGACACGGACATGGAAACACAGGGGTATGAGAGGGAGGGACATGAGGACATGGGGATGTGGGAAGACAGAGACATGTGACAGAGATATGTGACATAGGGACATGGGGACGCATAAGGGGTGACAGGCATGTGAGAACACAGGCATATGTGACACAGGGACATGGGGACATGGAGAGACAGGGATATGAGAACACAGAGACATGAGAGACAGGGACATGGGGACATGAGGACATGGAAGACAGGGACACAGGGACATGAGAGGACAGGAACATGGGGACACAGGGATATGGGACACAGGGACGTGGGGACATGGGAATTGGGGAGACAGGGACATGGGGACACAGGGATATGAGAGGGAGGGACATACGGACATGGGACATGGGAGACAGGGACATAGGGACATGAGAAGACAGGGACATGGTGACACAGGGATATGTGGCACAGGGACATGGGGATGGGGAAACAGGGACATGGGAAGACAGGGATATGTGGCACAGGGACATGGGGACATGGGGATGGGGAGACAGGGAAATGGGGACACAGGGATATGTGGCACAGGGGTGTGGGGACATGGGGACATGGGAGACAGGAGGACAGGGACATACATGAGGACACAGGGCTGTGAGAGATGGGGATGTGTGGGCACAGCATCACAGGGACATGGGGTGATGGGGAGCACTGTCCTTGGGCAGTCCCCAGGATCACTGGGGACTGAGTCCTTGTGCATGAGGATGCACAGGACACTGGTCCCAGGATGTGGTGACACATGAGGTGCTGGGGCACTGGCCCTGGGATGTGGGGACATGTGGGACACTAAGGGGACAGCCCCAGCACAGGGATGTGTGGGGTCCCACATCACAGGGAGGACACAGAGCCCCTGGCTTGGCAGGACCCTGCTGTGGGGACAGGGGCACAGAGCTGAGCAGTGGCATTCACTGGGGGCCACCTGGAAGCATGAGGGACCCAAACCAGTCCCTGTCTATCCCAACACTCTCCCACCCCCTTCATCTCTCACTTCTCTTTCTGTCTGGATTTCTCTGTTCCTGCACAGCTCGTGGCTCTCCCCACTGTCCCATTCGTCCCCATCTTTCTCCTCCCATCACATTTCTGGGGTTGGCTGTGCATGTCCTGGTCCCTGGGTGTGTGACAATGCACAAGGCTGGGCTGGGGATGTGCCACTGGCTCTGGTATTCCCCTCCTTAGCTGGAAAAATGGACCGGCGGTCACCCAGCCACCTTGGTGACAGGAAGGGGACAATGCAGGCTGGCACCATCTACACCAAGCTGTGACACCAGCATGTCAGCCTGGCCCCAGTGATGGATCCTGGGGCTGTGTGGCCCTGACAGGGCTGGGCAGGCAGGATGCCCAGAGCCCTGCAGTGCTGCAGTGGGACAGGGTCCCACGTCACCAGGCTGGGGACCCGCTGCCACCTTCCTGTCCCCCGGACGGGGCACAAACAGCTCCATCTCCCCATTGTGCTTCTCCTGGCTGCCTTCAGCTGCCCACCGCTGCTTCCTCCTCCCCACTGTCTGTGTGGTCGTGTGACGCAGCTGGAAATTTCCCCCCGATGGCGATGGCGTGCCCCGGGTTCTCGCTGTGGTGACGACTGGCGGTGACCCCGCGCCTCAGTCTGGCTGCCACACCGCAGGGATGTGGGCAGGACGCTGCTGTGACGTGGTGGAGACACAGGGGGGTGTCAGCAGGGAAAGGGACGGGTGACAGCCCCGCCGTGTCACCAGCCCTGTGCCATTGGTGCAGACCCGGCTGGCAGAGCGGCCACTCCGCAGAGATGTCCTGGAGGGTGCTGTCACCTGCCTCTGCTGCTGCCTGTGTCATCCTCCTGCTCAGCTGTGCCTGGCTTGGCTCTGCTGCCCATCCCTCCTCAGGTAAGTGCCTCGGTGGGTCTGGGGTGGGTCTGGGGTGATGGGGTAGGGCAGGGACATCTCACTGGGACACCCCAACATCACGTCCTGTGACACTTGGAGGTGATGGCTAGGTACCATGGGGAGAGTTTGGGGCCCTGCTCTGCTGCCTTCGCTCTGTGTCCACATTGAGAATCTGAGTGAAGACCTGAGACCCAGCCAGCATTTCCCCTTTTGGCAGCAAAATTCAGATTGCTGCTCTTGTAACCTGAATTTTCCATCCCCTGGATGTGGAGAGGGGGCAGAGGTTGTGGGAGTTGTGTTGGATATAACCAAAGCCCCCCAGGGCAGGGTGTTCTGGGGACCATCAGGATAGAAATTCTGCAGCTGGAGATGACGTGTAGAGCCTGTCTAGTTTCTTTTTCTGAGCAAGCCAGAAAAGGGATTTGATCCTGAGTTGTTTCTCTGGTGTCCTGGGACCTTCCTGTTCTTCACTTTAGTTCTTTGCACGCAACGAAAATCCCCTGACCACAGGAGGATGAGGAGATGTCTCTGTCTGTGGTGGGGAGCTGAGCTGGGGACACGGCTGGGACTATCCCAGCCCCGTGCTGCCCTCCTGATCCCTTTGTGCCAGGCTGGGCAGGACAAGGGACACCAGCAGCACCAGGGCTGTGGGAGCAGAGCCCATCCAGGCTCAGAGCAGGGCACCGTGCTGGGCTGGCCCTGCTGCGGTGGGGGCTGGCACAGAACGGGGCACAGCTCTGCAGGGTGAGTGCAGCAGGGTGCTGGGGGCTCCCCTGCCATGGGACAGGGAGATGCCACCTCCTGTGTGCAGTGCTGGCTCTGCAGGGAGGGGTGACAGCTCCTGCCCTTGGCTGAGCCCGATGCCTTGTGTCCCTGCAGTGCCCAACAAGAAAGGGCGAGCCCTGCTCCCCCTCACTCCCCAGGAGAAGAACGTGTGCTCCCAGGCCTCCGAGGAAGATTTTCTCAATAGCACCCTCAGCACCCGCCTCCTGCCCGCCCTCTACTCCGTGGTGCTGCTGGTGGGGCTGCCAGCCAACGCTCTGGCCTGCTGCGTCCTGGCCACCAACTTCAGGAGATGCTCCAGCGCTGTCTTCCTGCTCAACCTGGCTGGGGCCGACCTGCTCTTTGTCCTCCTGCTACCCTTCAAGATCTCCTACCACCTCCTGGGCAACCACTGGCCCTTTGGGGACTACCTGTGCCGTGCCATGGTGGCCTTCTTCTACGGGAACATGTACAGCTCCATCTTCTTCCTCACCTGCATCGGCCTGGAGCGCTACATCTCCGTGGCACACCCCTTCCTGTGGAAGAGCTCCAGCTGGACGAGGGGCAAAGTGGGCATCTCTGTGGGCATCTGGCTGCTGGTGGGGCTGGGCATGAGCCCTCTGCTTTTGTGCTCCCACACTCACGATATCTCCAGCCTCAACATCACGACGTGCCATGATGTGCTTGAAAAGGAAACCCAAAGGTTCTTTGGCTACTATTTCCTGTTCCTGGTGGGGCTGGGCTTTGGGCTGCCCTTCGTGCTCATGATCATCTCCTACAGCTGCATCCTGGCACGGCTGCTGGCCAAGGGAGGGAGCCACGGGCAGGTGATCCGTGTCCTGGCCCTGGTCCTCCTGGTCTTCATCCTCTGCTTCACGCCCAGCAACGTCCTGCTCTTCATCCACTACCTGCTGGAGCCCACGGGCTGCAACAACGGCACCTACATCTCCTATGCCCTGGCCCTGGTGCTCAGCGCCTTCAACAACTGCTTTGATCCCTTCATCTACTTCTACGTCTCCCGGGATTTTCGGGGCTGGCTCCAGGATGCTGGAGGCCGCTGCCTGCGGGGGCTCGAGGCCTCGTCAGGGAGGTCCACAGAGAAAACAGCCCTGCCCCTGAGGTCCAGTGAGCAGAGCCACGGCTGCCAGGCTGTGTCCCCCTGCCCAGGGGATGGGGGAGCCTGAAGCATGCCCACCATGAAGGGCTGACAATAGACTTGGGCAAAAACTTGTATCTGGATCTGAGGTTCACAAGGATTTTGCCTCGGTTTTGCCCCCCTGGTGACATCAGCGCTGCCCAATCCCCTGGGACCCTCAGCTGGGTGCCTGGCACCCCCATCTCTCCACCCGCCAGACCCTGGCATCCCTCACCCCTCCTCCTGCAGTGACCAAACCCTCCAGAGTACAAATAAACCTTTATTTCTCCCTGCTGGTGGCAGGAAAGGTACAAACACCCTCGCAGAGGAGGGGCTGCCCTCCATCGCCAGGACTAACGCCAGGCACACATGGCCAGCCCTGCTCCTGCTGCTCCCCCTGTCCCCCCAGACTATGCCCCAGTGGATGCAAGAGGGGAAGGGGGGATGGCTTGGGTGTGCTGGCCCTGCCCCGCAGGCCCAGAGCTGGAGGGGACACGCTGTGTGCCCCCGTGCTGGCAGGCACCCCATGCCCCTGCCTGGCACGGTGCTGTGCTGCCAAACCATGCGGGCACCACGTTCCTGTTTTGTTTTCCTCTTTGCTTGTGTCCCTCGGTGCTGGGCTCCATGACAGGTGTGCCACCCACGAGCAAGGGCACAGTGTGTGGCAGCAGTCCCAGCCCTCCCACGAGGGGGTACCACGGCCCAACATCCTGGTCACCACTTGTCCCTTTTGTTCCCAATCCCAGCCTGGCTCCGGGATGAGGAGGAGGAGGAGCAGGGTGGGGCTTCCACGATGTGGGAGTGTGGTTCCTCTCTGCCACTGGGGTACCCAGCATCGCTGCCACCGGGCACGCCTTGACCCCAGGTCGGTGGCCACCCCTTTGGCACAGCAGGTCACGTCACCGGCTGGCCAGGCCCCGAGGGTTGCCCATCACTCTTCCTGAGGATGACACTGCTGAGCTCCTGCATTAGTTTGTCACTGATGGGAGAGGGAGGCTGCAAGCTCCTCTTCCTGGGCAGCTCCAGGGAGGTCTCTGCAGTGGGGCTGCTCCCTGGTGTGGCTGCCTGCTCCCAGTCCCTGCCCAGAGCTAGGGAAGGCTCCATGTTCCTCTCCAAAGAGGACGTTTTGGTGGGTCTGAGCCCTGGGCTCGGGGCTTTGCTGCACTCCAGGTTCAAGCCCCTTTCGAGGGACACGGCTTTGGTGACAGAGGGCCCTGTCACCCTCTGGGCTGGGTTGGCAGGCAGTGAGGAGCGCAGGGCGGTGCCTGGGGGCTCCTCAGGGAATGGGGACGGCTTCTTGGACCTGTCCACAGGGGGCACGGCCGCCAGCTCTGCCAGCAGCCCCTGCCCCAGGTCCAGCGCCGCCAGCTCGGGGAAGTTCCCCACTTCCTCATAGACAGGATCGATGTCTGCCTCCTTCTCCTGCTGCTCCTCCAGGGAGTCCTGGTGGATCTTCATGGGCTGGGGAGGGCAGGGGGCAGGGTGAGGGGCACTGTCCACACAGCTCAGCTGTACCCCTCTGTCCCCCTCACCCTGCCCTCCCTGCACTGCCTGGGATCCTTGAACCTCACATGGGGTTGACACCTGCAGGGGACCCGCCCTCCACCAGGTCCCTCGGCTCAGGCACTGCTGCCCTTTCTTCCCCATGGCTGAGGAAGGGGCAGTTTTGGTCCCTGCCTGGGCATGGTCCATGCCACCAGCCCAGCACCCCTCGGCAGAGCGTTCAGGGTGGGGTGGGCAGGTGGATCCCATGCAGAGCACAAGGCCAGGAGAGATGTGGTTCAGTGGCCTTTTTGGAAATAACCTGATGGCAAGGCACACCTAAACCTCTTTCCTCACATTTCTTCCATTGATACCCTATGGGCAATGTGTGCCCAATGGGAGAGGCTCTGGAACTGGGTTGGACTGGTGTGCCCTTGCTTGCCCACACCGGGACCATGCAGGGACCCACATCCCCAAGCAGGGAACATGCAGAACAGTGGGCCCCCCCTCGTCTGCCACACAAGGTGGGCACATCTCCAAGTGCCTGTGGCATGCTGCAGGTGAGCCCTGGCACAGTGCAAAGCCAGCAGCAGGTGCTCCAGGTGTGCAGGTACTTACAAAGAACATGGACAAAGTCCTTCGCGTGTGCAGGCGGCGCTAGAAACAGAGGAGACGGACAGGGGTGAGCACGGAGAGCACAGAGCAGGGCCACGGCTGCCTGGGCAGGCAGGGGAGGGCAGAGGCTGCAGGAGCCTGCAGGCACGGAGAGCTGCCACGGACACGGGCACGGACACGAGCATGGCACACACAGCACACACAGCACCCATCGGTGCGCCAGCCTCTCCAGCCCGGCGGTGGGCACGGGGTCCTGGGGCGGGTACAAGGAGCAGGATGGGTGCAGGAGCACCTGTGGGCAGGGGGAGCTGCAGGGGCTTTACCAGGGTCTGGTTGGCAGAGAGCATGGTGGCATCAGTGCTGTCCCCGTGCAGGGGCACCAGCGGCATCGTCCCGAATTTCTGCTTGGCCAGGTCGGAGGAGGAGCGGCGGCGCAGCACCACGGGGCGCAGGTCATCGTGCTGTGCACAGGGACAGGGTGGGCACAGGGGTCACGCCTTGCCAGCCCCTTGCCAGCCCTGCCAGCCCCTTGCCAGCCCCCTGCCAGCCCTGCCAGCCCCCTCCCGGCCCTGCCCAGCTGGGTGGCACTGCCAGCCTGCACCCACCTGAGCCTTGAGGATGCTGGTGGTCCAGTCCCACAGCTCGGCCTGCCCTGAGCACACCAGGTACCTGCAGAGCAAATAGTGGAGAAGCTGCCAAGGAGTGGGGCCAGTGGGGCCCATGTCACCTTGTCACCTTTGTCCGTGAGCCTGGGGCTTTCAGGTTCATCTATATCCCTCAGGGCTAAATCTCTGAAAATCTCTGTGTGCCCAAATAGCTGCTTTAGGGCAAGCTGGGAGCTTTTAGGGCACCCAGCACCACCCATGGGGTGCTGGGGTGGGTGAGGAAGCAGGAAGGCTGTGAGGCAGGGATGTGGGTGGCCCCTGGAGCCTGGCTCCCGTCCTGTGCCAGGGACAATGTGGTGCCACCACTCTGCCTCTCAATAGCCCCAGCTCTGCCCCAGCCCCAGGGCCTTGTACCAGTGGCCCTGGCTGTCCCACCCCCACCAAAACTGGGGACAGATCTTGACCTCCCCCAGCCCCAGGACAGCAGGAGAAGGTACTCACAGCTGCTGCTTGTCCAGGGTCAGCGTGAAACCCCACCTGGAAAGGAACACAAGGCTGTAGGACAGCAGTGCCAAGCTCAGACACAGCCTGGGGTCTGTGGGCAGTGGGGCAGGGGGCTGAGTTCGCCCCATGGGCACAGGCTTTGGGTCCAGGTGTACTCCAGGGTTTGGGTGCCAGGAGCAGGCACTGAGGGATGGATATCTGCCCCAGTGCCATGCCTGAGAAGGTCCCACTTACTGAGCTGGTGGCTTCAGCTTCTTCCTAATGCCCATGTAGACCTTGGCAGCATCCAGGGGCCACTCACGCTCTGGCTTGGCACTCTGAGAAAGGACATCCAGTATGTCAGCCCAGCTTGGTGCCAGCCTCCCTGCCAGGAGAGCAGCCCCCACTGTGCCGCTGCTGTCCCCAGGCTCCTCATGCCACCCCTGGGGCTGAGGCCCATCCCAGAGCATCCCCCCTACCCTCTTCTCCTTGAGCAGCAGCAGCCTCCTGTCCTGGATGACGAAGTAACGCTCCTGGAACTTGTTCCCCAGCAGCTTGGGGGGCTCCTCCCGGCACTTCAGCAGCCCACACTTGGGGGTCTCACGCTTGGCACCTGCCCAGTGTGGGGACAGAAGGGTCAGGGGGCTGGCAGGGTGGCATTGCAGGGGGATCCCACTGTGGGATCGGTGATGTGCCCCTGACGGCTGCAAGGGGAAGCTGAGGCAGAGCTGTTCCCCTCTGGGGACACCCCGAGGGGCTGGGTCCCTTTGTGCCCACCTTACCTGTGAAGAGACAGCTGCCCTCGCCGATGGGCACCTTCCTCACCAGCAGGTACGCGGCGCTGGGCTCTGGGAGCTTGCACCACTGCAAGGCCTGCTCCAGCACCTTCTCCTTGGGGTGCAGGGGCCGCTCTGGGGACACAGGGACACTCTCACCACCGTGCCAGCTCCTGTCCCCTCTGCCACCACCAGAAAGGCGATTTCATGTTGGGTTTACTACGATTGTGATTCGTATAATACCATAACCTCCAAGTTTTAGAAGCAGGGCTGCTAGCAGTATGGACCCAGCAATGGGAGCTTCTATGTGGGCTTTAGGCAGTCACAGATGCAGGCTTTATAGGGAGGCTTTAACTATGAAGGCTAGTGGAACAGCTAGGCTTGCAGCCAGGCATGATCAAGAAGAGTTTAATGTAGGATGTGAAAGTTTGAGTATTGGGAAGTACAGTGTACCAATTTGATTGTGCAGGTGGAGGATAGCAATGAGTAGTGGGAGTGAGCTGGCGAGTGTATAAAATAAGAGGTAAATGCCAGCGTTTAGGTGTTCTGGTTGGTTCCCTCATCGTGTGATGAGGATGAGGGTGGGGATTAGGGTGGCTTTGAATGTGATGTAAAAGAGTATTTAGCTCTGAGGCCGAAAAGGCCAAGAGGATGAATAGCTGAGCTAGAATTACAGTTGTAGCAAGACTCGGTTGCGGTTGGTGGGTTCTTGTTCTAGGTGGTTTTGGTTCGCTGTCCCCCACGCCTGCCCCTCACCAGCCTGGCCATGGCAGGAGCACCCCCTGGGCCATCCCCCCGTGCTCACCCAGCTCCCCGTTCTCCAGCGCCTCGAAGGTCAGCCAGATGTCCAGGCTGGCGGGCACGTTGCGCATCTCCAGCACCTGGTTGGTCAGTTCCTCTGCTGTCATGGTGGGGGACACCTGGGGCCGGACACACAGGGAGCTGCAGTGGGTGGTGCAGGATGGGTCCCAGGGGAGCCAGGAGCTCCCTCCCCACGTGCTCTGGCACAGCCCTGCTCTGGGACTCACCTTCAGGGTGACGCAGCAGTCGGACACCTTCTGCTCCAGGTACACCTCGATGATGAGGTC